GTCACCCATGGGTGCCCAGCTCTTGGTGCCAGCAGCCTATTTGGTGCATATGTGAAATATGGCCACTGCTCCATTCCCCCCTCCACCGCCTCCCGCTTCCCCGGCAGCGCGGGGCTCGAGGGGCCGGTGGCTGGCGGGGGAGCGTGGTGGTTGCCAGCCAGGGAAGGCATCTATTGTGTGGAGGCAGCAAGGCGTGTTTGCGTAGCCAAGCAAGCAAATGTGCCGGGCACTTGGCTCGGCAGACCCATGTGCTGGGGCCGGGATGTGCCTCCCATTCCCAGACTGGTTTCGGAGGTGTGCCAGCGGCATCCCCACCGTGGGCATCGCTACTCCAGGGGTTCCGCGAGCCAACCTCCCTGGTGTCGGCGTGGTGAGGGAAGACAGCCCAAAAATTATGGTGTGAGGCAGGCCTGAGGCTTGTATTAGGTTTTCTGCCTGTCCATAAACAGCTATGGACTCTGGCTTGCTGTGTGCCTCAGTTTCTCCATCTCTGTCATGGGCAGAGCCATGCTTCCAGCCCTCCCAGGCTTACTGGGAGGATAAACAGCGGTGGAGTCATGTGCCGGGAATCCAGGACCCCGGGGTCCACCTGGCTCATTCTGTGACTCAGTTTCCCAGTCACCGCAATGCTTGTTGGGTCAAGCAGGAAAACACCTGCCCAGATGTGGCTGATGGTTCCTTCTGCTCCTGCTTGGCCCCAGCGGTGGGAAGCCAGTGATCATTGGTGTGCGAAGGGCTGCGTTCACCCCCCTCTCATAGCCACATTAGAGCATCCTGACTTAATGCTGGTATTATTTAATTGATCTGGATTTGCAGATGCTGGAAAAAGAGCACCGCTGGCATAAATCGGTGAGCTCTGGCATGGGAGCAGGTGGATGCTCGCCGATCCACTCCAGTGCGAAGGCAACCAGTTTGGTCCCAACCCTCTTGGCCAGGACAGAAGTTGTTTGGCCGCCAATTTCTCCCTCTGCCCTTCGCTCAAAGTGGGTTTTTCTCCAGCAAATGTCATGCCTGGCTCTCGCGAGGTCTTGGCACTGAGTAAAGCTGGGAGAGAGCCACGCGGTGTGGGTTTGTGCTACCTGGTCCGAGGGGCATGCTGCCTCACCAGGGATGGGAGGAGAGGATTTCCCTCTTCGGATTTGCCCTGCAGCTGTTTGAAATAGGAAAGCTTTCTCATCTAGAAATGCTTGGATCTATGTTTTTTTGAGCATTTGAATGCAAAAGATAGTTTGTGTTTGAGGTTCATGGACTCAAAGGCAGGAGAGACAGCGGCAGCGGCTTTTCTGACTGCCCCGAAGCCCAGCCGAGCTCTCTCTGCTTTGAACCCTGTGATGTGCTCCAGCATCATCCCGAGAAGCCATCCAGTCTGGACTTGAAGATGTCAAGAGATGGCAAATCCTCTCCTCCCCTGGGGAGTTTGTTCTGATGGTTAATCACCTGGCTATTAAAAATGTGAGTTTTCGTCCTTGTTTGCATGTGTCTGGCTCTCGCTCCCAGCCCTTGGCGGTCGCTCTGTGTCTCCACGGCCTCAGTAAGGCGAAGCCACTTATCCTCCTGGAGACGAGGCATCCATTTCCAGCCTCTCCGCCTGAGCACCTTGTGCTGCCGAACCGGCTTTCCCCACTCTGCCAGGCAAACCATCCGAAAAAAAAAAAAAAAATCCCTCTCTTCCCCACTGGAGTGGCCAAGTTGCTCCGCTGGCACTGGAGCGGCTGCGGGGCAGGAGGACAAGGAGCTCCCGGCTCCAGTGACCTGCAGGATGGCTGCTTGATTTACAAATTAACCTTGCAAAACCATTGGGTTGGGGGTTATTCCACCCACCAGCCTTTGCTGGGGAGAATGTTCAGCTGTTTTGGTACAGGCAAGACAGAGGGTCCTTGTCGGCCAGAGCTGAGCCCTGGTCCGGATGTGGAGGTCGCCCGTGGTTCATCTGTGGATCGTGCCAGAGCAAACCGTCCCGTGCCGCTGCTCTGCTCTGGGAAAGCACCCCAAAACCTGCCCGTAACCTCTGCCCCTTCACCAGCTTGTGATTGAAGGGCTGGGCTCGCTGCAGCCCTCTGCAGCCATTCCCATGGCTTGTTGCTCACTCCCCTTGGAAATGCGTGCCTTGTTCTCCCTCTGAATGGATTGACCTTCATCTCCCAGCTCTGGTTTTGCTTTTGGGAACTGGATGGCCCCGGGGTCCCCACACCACCAGTGCAGCCATAGAGACCCCTGACCCCGGGGTGGACTTGAAGTGTGGCTGCTGACCACGGGATTGTGGTGGCCGAGGAGCATTAAATCCACAGGCTGGTGCCTTGAATGACTGAGATGCATTGGAAAACCCCATCTTGATTTTGGCTGATAAATTGGCTTCACCTCTCCAGGAGTGCCTGGCTCTGGCTGGAGTGGGGAGGCATGGGAGCAGTGCTCAGCCTGGCTTGGGACACTTCGGGGAGGGTCGCATCCAGCAGCAGACAGCCGCGTGGTGCCGGCATATGGGCCAGGGTGCCAGTGTGGCATGGAGGTGATGCCTGGGCAGGTTTTGGGCTGTAGTGGTGTCTGGGGGGTTTTCCAGCCCACCCTCATTTTCCTCCCCTGCCCATCGGGTGCTCACCAGGGGTCAAGGTGAAGCAAGGAGCTCTCATGGGGCGGATGCCCCCGGAGGGAACCGGAGTGGGTGACCTGCAGGACAAGGAATTTGGCTGACGGTGCCTAGTGTGACGTGCTGTGGCTGTCCCCCAAACACGTGGCTGGGTGGCTGCCACGGCACACGCGTGGTCCCAGTCCCCAGGGAGGGGATGCCGTGAAGCAGCCCTGTGCGGCAGGGATGCCTGGCTCCTGATTTCCTTCTTTCTTGCTTCCCCCAGCTTGACAGCGGACCCCCGGCAAGGCCACCTGTCCTGTGAGCGGCCCCCCCATGCACAGCCCCCCTCCGGTGCCCGCCAGCTGGATGCCGTCCCCGCCGGAGGCTGAGGATGCCCCAAGTGCCTCGGTGCCCCCCGGGACGGGGGACAGCACCTGCCTGCAGCCGCCTCGCCTCAACTTCCCACACCACCCTGCCGGTGAGTCCCTGGGGGTCTGTCCCCTGCCCCAGTATCAACCTCCTAATGGTGTTAATGGGACCAGACTGGGGACAAGCCAGTCCTCAGCCCCCCTGTGCTGAGGCCCCGGCATTGTTCCCAGCAGAAACCCGATCCCTGCCTGCAAACAAAGCCCAGAAGAGGGGGGGCTGGCAGGGGCTGGGGGGGGTGCACAGGGGGGTCCTTTCTCTCCCAGTCCCTTCCCCTTCCCCCATCGCTCGCTGGGGATGCCGGGACGAGTTCCCGGTCCTGTTGCCATCTCCTAGACAACCAGCGTGGGGGGGGGGCTTTTGTTTCCATAGTGATAAATGTGTGAGCATCCAGCATCTGGGACAAAAGGATCACCATCCCTCCCTCCCTTTTTGCCTCCTCGACCCCATCTCCCCCTCTTTGAGGCCTTGGAAAAGAGGCCAAAAGACATTTGGGTTTTATTTGGTCGAAATGGCATTTCCGTGGTAACCCAGCATGGGCTTACCCCCAAACACAGCTGCCGTGACCCCCCCCAGCATGCGGTACTGCCTGGGAAGCGGGGTTTGGGGCTCTGGGGGATGCCTAATGCCCGCAGCCCCCCAGCACCCTTAGGGTGAGGGCAGGAGGATTTGGCAGGACCCCTCTGATGGGCTCCAGCATCCCCTGATGTGGGTCAGGCAGCCCAGTGTCTGCGATGGCTCCCATCTGTGTCCAGGTCCCCTCCCTGGTGGGATCACAGACCCAGGCAAGCCAGCACCGAACCTGCATCAGGCCTGTAAGCGGCTTGGGAGTCCCCAAAACCAGCCGGGTGACCCAGACTGGGACCCCGGGAGACCACTGACAGAGACCCCGGCTCCTACCAGCATCCTGTGAGCCTTTGCCCAAGGTCCTGGTGCCCGGCTGGGATCTCAGCAAGGTGTTCTTTTTCCCAACCCAGCAAAGATCCAACACCATAAGTAGGTGTAGGTGGCAATCATGTGCGTGTGTGTATATATTTATATATGTGTGCATCTACAAATGGCTGTAATGGGAGTTTGGGGTTGGCTAATAACGACATGGCAGCCGTGAGTCAGCGCACGGGGCGATGGTATCTGCTCCAAGCCAGCCTTGCGATGGTGGACTGGTCCTTGGATGCTGTCGGGGTGGCCCAGGCCAGTGGTCCTATCCTCAGAGCCACCGCGGTGGCATCTGGCAGCCTGGGAGCCCCCCGATTCCCCCGGTCCCAGCAATCCCGAGCTCTCCCTGGCTTAGGCTGCTGCTGCAAGGGGAGCTGGAGCCAGTGCAAAGGGATGCTCCTCGAGAAACCGGGACTCCCGCGCCTATCTCCTGGGTGTAAGATCCCAGCTCCACACCGGGAAACGTGTCCGGGCAGAGCCCCGCGCTGCAAGATGGGCCTGAAACATTGCCTGCACCCAATTATTCATTCCTTTTTTTTTTTTTTTTTGGCCCCCACCCTAGGCACTCAAAGTAACTATCTTGGTATTAATTAAAGTGTAAATCACCCAAAACAGAAGCTAATCATGCAGTATCATTAATAAAGGGGAAGGTGACCATCCTGGACCCAGCTTGGGCATGGGATAAAATAGAAAATGCCCCAAAGTGACCCAAATTCCCTTTCTCTGCTGAAGTCTCGTCCCCATTTGCCACCAGGGCTGGAGCTGCAGTGGTGCAGGGACAGTGGGCAAGGGGATCTTCACTGGTGGCCAGGACCCCCAGGGTATTGCCAGGATGCTGTTGTGCCACCACTGACCCTTCCCCTTCGCCTCCGCAGGCGGGCAAGCTGTTTTCTCCTGAGACGAGCCCAACCAAGTGATCAAAATAGAGTCCCTCAAGGTGACAGTCGACTTCTTGAAGGTGCCCCTGGGCCTGAAGAAGCCCCCTCTGAAGGAGGCCCTGGCCACTGTCCCAGGGCCGGGGAGACCCAAGCCCCTCGGCGTGGAGCGGCACAAGCCACGGCACTCTGACACCATGGACAATGAGTCACAATACTCGGGATATTCCTACAAGTCCGGGCATTCCCGCAGCTCCCGCAAGCACAGGTGAGGGGTCAGTGCCTGCCTGGGGAGGGATCCCCTGGCCCCAGTGGGCACTGCCACCCAGGTGCACCCACCCCACTCCCTTTTTTTGCCTTCCAGGGATCGGCGGGACCGGCATCGCTCAAAAAGCCGGGACGGGAGCCGCGGGGACAAGTCGGTGACCATCCAAGCACCAGGCGAGCCCTTGTTGGACAATGAGTCGACCCGGGGGGATGAGAGGGTGAGTTGGGCAGGGGGAGGAATAGGGTTGGCATCTCTGCCCCATCGTGGGGATGCTGCTGAGGGTGGGAGCCGCTGGCGGGGCACGGGGGCTCCCGGCATGCCTGGTGCTCCCCAGCAGAGCGGTTGAGCCGGTTGGGCTGGCCCTTGGCTGGCGGATGGGCTTCTGTGAGTGCTGTGGCAGCGCCGGCGGGGAGGGCAGACAGGCGGCACGGGTGCAAATGAAAGGGGACCGGCTGTTGCGGCACCCTGGGGAAGCAGCTGGGTTGGGCACGGGCTGCCCAAGGGTGGAAAACACCCCGGAGATCCACTCCCTGGGGATCCACTCCCTAGGGATTAGCTTCAGCTCCTCGCTCGGCGAGATCCTCCTGCAGGCGATGCCGGCTTGGCCATGCCAAGGCATAATAACCCCAGCCCAGCTCCCAGCAGGATCACACCGGCGAGCAGGTTGGTGCAGAGGAGGGTCCCACGCTGCATCCCCCCACTGGCCACCCCAGTCCCCTGGTCCCATGGGGGTCCCTCGCCATGAGTGGCAGTGGGGGCAGAGCTGCTGTGCCCCCCACACTGGGTGCCGGCACTCCTCTGGCCGCCGCAGAGCCTGGTCCCTGGCTTTAATCATCTCCCAGCCACCTACGCAGGCAGCTCCAGCTCTTTTCATCTTCCCCCACCAAGAAGTCGGTGCCGGCAGAGGCCGGGGTTTGCGGTGGCCGGGATGCCGGCGGCGGAGCCTGCCCGGTCCAGCTGTGGCCAGAGCAAGCTGATGGCAGCGTGGGTTCACCTGGGGATGGGCTGGGACATGGACTGGTCCTCCCGGACCCTCCTCTGCTTCCCATCCCTCTGGAAAGCCCCAGGCTGTGGCTTTATTTTGTTGTTTGGAATGAAATTGCTGGCTTTCCTGCAGAAATTCGGGGGGGGCGGGAAATAAGATACGATAAAACCCCAAGTTTCAGGGATGCCAAAGTGCAGTAAAACAGAATGCACAAGTCTGAGTGAGAGGACAGACAGATGGACAGATGCGTGGCTGCGCCAAGGTGGTGTTTTCAGCGCCTGCAGCACAGCACCTTCTCCTTCCACTAAAACCCCATGTTTTAGCTGGGAAGGAATCAAATAGGGACAGGTCATTTCTGCACCCCTCTGGCTGGAGGAGGGGTCTTTTTGGAGGCAATGGGAGTCCTGTCCAGTGCAGTGAGCTGCCAGATTGCTGGACACTTTGTCCTGCCTGGTGCAGTGCTGGAGGAGGCAGCGCCCGCCTGCTCAGCAGCAGCGAGGGTGTGTTGGGATGGCAGCTGGGCATGTTCCTTCTGGCCCCGCTAATGAGGGGGTTTGCCTGGAAGCAGGATGCTTCCCACTTCCAAAGCTGCTCTCGCCAGTGCCGGAGAGGTGAAGTACGGCACAGAGCCGCCGACGGGGGTTTCCTAGAGGGTCCCAGCCAAATGGCTGCATTCCCCTACCCCAGGCTGAGGTTTCCACTGTCTAAATGGGGGTGATGGCGCCAGGCAGCGCACCGGGCTTTGAGGTTTGGTGGATGGGAGATGCTGGAGTTGGGTTGGGGTGGGGGTCCAGTGCAGCTGGCAGCCCCCTGGGGTGCTAGGGACGGGGAAGGGGGGACACGGAGCCATCCCCTGCATAACCCTCCCATCCGCCCTTCCCAGGATGACAACTGGGGCGAGACCACCACGGTGGTGACGGGGACGTCGGAGCACAGCATCTCGCACGATGACATCACCCGCATCACCAAGGACATGGAGGACAGCGCCCACCTGGACTGCTCCCGGCACCTGGGCGTCTCGCTGGCCGGGGCGCTGGCACTGCTTGCCTTCCTCACACCCCTCGCCTTCATGCTCCTACCCCAGCTGCTGTGGCGGGAGGAGCTGGAGCCCTGCGGGACACCCTGCGAGGGGCTCTTCATCTCCGTGGCCTTCAAACTCCTCATCCTCCTGCTGGGCAGCTGGGCTCTCTTCTTCCGTCGCCCCAAAGCCTTCTTCCCTCGCATCTTTGTCTTCCGAGCATTGCTAATGGTGCTTGTCTTCCTCCTCGTCGTCTCCTACTGGCTTTTCTATGGTGTACGGATCCTGGACTCACGGGACCGCAACTACCAGGGGGTGGTACAGTACGCCGTCTCGCTGGTGGATGCCTTGCTCTTCGTGCACTACCTGGCCGTGGTGCTGCTGGAGCTGCGCCAGCTCCAGCCCCAGTTCACCCTCAAAGCCGTCCGCTCTGCTGACGGAGCCAGTCGTTTCTACAACGTTGGCCATCTCAGGTATGGGGGTGCCGGAGGGGATTGCTGCCACAGTGGGTTCCCCTCTTTGTGTGTGTGCATGAGGTGTGCGTGTCCACTGGTTGCTCCTGGGTGTTTGTGCAGTCCCATGTGTGCATTCCCATGCACATGTACATGTGTGCATGTGCATTGGTGCATGTGCAGGTGCCCAAGTGTACTCATGAGTGGTTGTGCTCACGCTTCTGCCCTCCACGGCACCCCAGCATCAACCGGCTGGAGGAGCTGCAAGCATGCCCTGCAGCGGGTACAGCCCCGCTCCATCCATGGGATGAGATGTCCCCACAGTGCCGCACGCTGTCCGTCCCTCCCTCCTTGTCCTGCCCCGGCTGTGTGTGCCTCCCACCCTCGGCACGGTGCTAACTGGCTCTCTGTGCCCCCCATGCCTGGCTGTGTCTCCCTGCAGCATCCAGCGAGCAGCCGTGTGGATCCTGGAGAACTATTACCACGATTTCCCGGTCTACAACCCTGCCCTCCTCAACCTGCCAAAATCCGTCCTGTCCAAGAAAATGTCTGGGTTTAAAGTCTATTCACTCGGCGAGGGTGAGCTCCCCTTCCCCTGGCTTCTCCTCTTGTTCTCTCTCCTCCTTCCCTTTCCCATCCCTGTGTTTTCCTCTCCGGAGGCTCCTCTTGGCTCCAGAGAGCCTGGAGTGGGATCGCTGCAGCCTGACTGTGGGGCAGGGGGAGTGTGGGGCACCAACCCTTCTCTAACTTCACCCTTTTCCCTGCAGAAAACACAACGAACAACTCCACAGGCCAGTCCCGGGCTGTCATTGCGGCAGCTGCCCGGAGGCGCGACAACAGCCACAACGAGTATTACTATGAGGAGGCAGAGCATGAGCGCAGGGTGCGGAAACGCCGAGCCAGGTACGGGGCCGGTGGTGGGGACCGGGCTGCGTGCCGCATTGGGTGCCCCACTGCTGTGTGTCCCATGCGGTCCCCATCCCAGGACCCCCCATGAGGACCTGGGCAGTGCTGGCAGGAGGGAGTGAGTGCTCCTGGGGTCACCTCCAGCCCCGCAAGACGAGGTTTTCCTGCTCTTAGGGAAGTGAATCCCAAGCCCAGCTGTTGTGCAGCACAACCAGATCTCCCCCAAAACTGTTTTGGGGTAGAAGCTGGGTTCCTGCCAGCAGCAAGTGGCTCCCCCCCCAACCCCAGGGGATTTCCTGCCCGTGGCCGGACTCTGCCCTCTTGCAGCCACATCCATGGCTTTCCTCCCAACAGGCTGGTGGTGGCGGTGGAAGAAGCCTTTACCCACATCAAGCGGCTGCAGGAGGAAGACCAGAAGAACCCACGGGAGATCATGGACCCACGGGAGGCGGCTCAGGCCATCTTTGCCTCCATGGCCCGGGCCATGCAGAAGTACCTGCGCACCACGAAGCAGCAGCCCTACCACACCATGGAGAGCATCCTGCAGCACCTTGAGTTCTGCATCACCCATGATATGACGCCCAAGGTGCGTGGAGGAGGGGCATGGTGAGGTGGGACAGGTCCACAGGTTTGCCCAAAGCCTTGGTCCAGATCATGAGGACTTGGCGGGGGGGGTCCCCACCATGTGAGAGCATCCCCCTGGGAGGACAAGGGATTGGGGGATACAGCCAGAAAAGTGGGTGTAACCCCAAGGGAGCAACACACAGTGATGGGAACCAGCTCCGCGGGGATGTTTTTCCTGCAGGACCTGCTGAGCAGCTTGAGGCTGCAAAAAAAAAAAATAGGCTGAGCCATAGGAAGGTGACGTTCACATGTCTTTTCCCTCCTCCAAGGCATTCCTTGAGCGTTACCTGATGGCCGGGCCCACCATCCAGTACCACAAGGACCGCTGGCTGGCCAAGCAGTGGACGCTGGTCAGCGAGGAGCCGGTGACGAATGGCCTGAAAGATGGGGTGGTCTTTGTGCTGAAGCGCCAGGACTTCAGCCTCGTGGTGAGCACCAAGAAGATCCCTTTCTTCAAGCTCTCAGAGGAGTTCGTGGACCCCAAGTCACACAAGTTCGTCATGAGGCTGCAGTCGGAGACCTCCGTGTGAGCTCAAGAGGGATGGAGAGGGGTCGGGGGGGGGAGACCCTCTCTGCACCCCTCTGTCTCATCCTCACCATCTCCAACGGGGCTCAGGGAGGCCACGGCTCGAGGGCAGAACTGCAGCGGGCGCTAGGAAGCAGCACCCATGCCCGGCTCCATCACCTACCTGTGAGCACTCGCCCTCAGCCTCGGCTTGGCCCCCGTTGGGGTGGGCTGAGCCCCTTCCTCTTCCTCCTCCTCCTCCCTCCCGAAACCCAGGTCCTTGTAGCAATCCCCCAGAAGGCGCAGCCGGCGGAGGACAGTGGCACAGCCAGGAAGGAAACAGTGTTTCGGTGCCATAACTCAAGGGCTAACTCTACATGTTCTTCACCAGCGTCTTCAAGAACCATCAGGTCCCCAGGACCTTCTGCGCTTGCGCGTTTTCTACCTGGCAACTGTCCTGGCTCTGGCCTTAAACTACTGCCCGGCATCTGGGGCTGGTTTTTAATCCTAGAGATTTTTTGGGGGGAGTATTTTGCAAACACCTCCGCGATCTGTGGCTGCTATGAAAAACTCCCCCGGCATCCAAGACACCGGAGTGGCGATGCTCCTGGCTGTAGGAATGTCCTCCTCGCCTCTCTGCTGATGGTTTCTGTGCTCAGCTCTTAACAAAAGCAAGTGAAAATCTGGTTTTTAAGAGAAGCAGAAGGTTTTTTTTATATGGTTTCCCTGCTCCCAAGGTGACCCATGTCCCTGGTCCCAACAGCATCTCCATGGGGCTTCCCCACGCCAGTTGGAGCTGTGGCCATGGATTGCAGGCCCAGCAGCTTGAAATGTCTCTCAGGGTCCAATCCTGGCCCCAGAGCCAGCGGGCTGAATGAAACGAGGGGTTCCTGATGAGGGTGATGAAGGCTCGTAGCTCAGTGAGGTCCTTCACGTCCCATGGTGGCAGGTGGCCTGTGGTGGTCCCACAAGCAGGGGCTGGGGCTGGCTCGCCATCAGGGACGCAAAACCTTTTGCCTTCCCTTGGTTTTGTTAAGGTCGCAAATACCTCATGGATTTTTTTTTTTTTTTTTTTTCCCCACCCTCTGGATCCCATAATCCAGCCATGCCGTGCCGGGTGGGGGGGCTTGTGTGGTCCCAGCGGGGGGGTTGTGGCTGGTTTGGTCATGGGAGCTGCCAAATTTCACCCCAGGGAGGCGTGAGGTTGGATTTGATTTTGGTTTATTTTGTCCTAAGCACTAAAAGGGGTGTGATTTCAGGGCGGGGGCAACAATGCCGCTTGGGCTGTGGCACGCTGGCCACATGTGCCACCCCAGAGGGGCTGGAGGCTTCCCCAGTAAGTACCAGTAGCAAAATTAAGATGCTGGAGGGGTTCTATGGGGTCTGTCCCCATCCAGGCACCGCACTGCTCGGGGCTGGCTTTCCCGATTTCCAGGAAATCGCCATGTTTGGGGAGATTCTAACCCCTCCCTGCTGCTCCCCTCGTCTTCCAGCTTCTTGAGGCCGAAGGACCTGGGTTTCACCCCCCTGGTCCTCCCAGCTCCATCAGTGCGGCTGCTGCTGGGAGCCTGTTTTGGGGTGTTTTACAGGAAAAGAGACTTCAGTGAGCGCGAGCAGATGGGTCAGCCCGGGAGGGGGGATTTTCCACTTGGAGTTTAAGAAGAATAAACCCTTTTTCATTTGTTTTTGGTTTTGGTTTGGGGTTTTTTTTTCCACAGAGCCGAGACCTTGTGCATGCGTGTAGAAAATTGTAAAATGTAAAATTGTTTTTTAATATATAAAAAGCTTGTTTTTACAGTTTGCAGTGGATCAAAGCATTACGGCAGTGGTAGGAAGTTTTGTTGGTTGTTTTGGGTTTGTTTTTTTTTCATAGAGCAACTAAAATTGTACAAATTTTTTTTTTTATAAAATAAACCCACTTTGACTTTTTTTTTTTTCCTCCTTCATCTTCCTGCACCCAGTGCTTTGGGGTGAGGCAGCAGTTTTAGGTCCCAGCTTTGCTCCTGCCCAATCTGGGCAGCTCAGAGATGCTGCAGTGGCAGGATGTGGCCTCAAGGGAGCACTCGGGGAGAAACACGTCCTGCGCTTGGAGGATCCTCGGTGCAGGACAAGGGCTTGGGGTTGGTGGGGGGCATGGATTTAGGGTCTATAGGGCCAAGGAGGTGGGGTTTGAGGGGCCAAAGATTTGGGTTTTATGGGGTCAAGGAGTTTGGTTGATGGGGTCCAAGGGTTTAGAGTTTTGAGGGGTCCAAGGATTTGGGGTCTGTGGGGCCAAGAGTTTGGGCTTTACAGAGCCAAGGGTTTGGGATCTGTGAGGTCAGGGGGTTGGCGTCTATGGGGCTAAGGATTTGGAATTTATGAGACAAACAGCTTGGAGTCTAATGGGGCCAAGGGTTCGTGATTGTGGGGCCAAGGGTTTAGAGTTTGAGGGGTCCGAGGATTTGGCGTTTGTAGGGCCAAGGATTCAGGCTTTATGGAGCCAAGGGTTTGGGATCTGTGAGGTCAGGGGTTTTATAGGGCCAAGGATTTGGAATTTATGGGGGCCAAGGGGTTTGGGGGGCCAAGGGATTTGGGGTTTATGCGGGTGAAGGGCTTGGGATGAGCAGAGGGGAGCAGGGGCTGCTGCTCTACCTCCCCCCAGTGCAGATGGGAGAAATGCCCAAACCCTCCCCGGCGCGGGGGGGGCAAGACCCAACCTCGTTGCTGGGGGGAACGAGCCCCCCCCCCACGCACAGCTCCCCGGGGGCAGGGGCTGCTCCCAGCCTGCAGAACCTCCACCTGCCCCGGGGCTGCTGCCGCCTGCAATCCCCTCACTGTGACAATCGAGGTGGCGGATGTTTGGGCTCCTGTGCGCCCTCTCCAGCACCCACCTGCACACACCCCCCAGCCACCCCTGGGCCCCTGCACCCCTGCTTGTGGGGGGGTCCCTCATGCAGCAATGGCACCACTGATTCACTGGGACCCAGCGTCAGCGTTTCCTTTGGCTTTTACACCTTTTCTCCCCTCATCTCAGCCCTGGGCCGCCCCCACACACACGCTGTGCCCCGCTCCCTGCAGGAGGATGTTTGCTGTGGGTGGGGGGAGCAGAGCGAGGGGAAACTGAGGCAGGTCAGTGCAACTGCAGCACTGTCCCCAGCACAAGGGACACAAGCTGGGGTGGGGGGGGGTGCTAGCCCCCCTGCCAGGCTGTGCTGGGGCTCATGGACCCCCCCCAGCTCCTCATTTCCGTGGGGACATTCTTGCTTCTCCAAGGGTATGTTACCCACAGGGTCACTGGGGCTCTGTGGAGTGTTTATTTCCCGCCCTATCTTTGCCCTGTGATGAGTTCAACAGTCATCTGACAAGCTGCTGGCCCCAGGGTGGGGAGGGCGGTTTATTTCAGTCCTGTGTGGTTTTTTTTCCTTTCCGTGACTAACGGAGGCAGCACAAGAAACTCCTTCCCCCAGCCATCTCGGAGTGGGCTGGCTGCCAGCCGCCTCTGATCCGTTTCCAGACATGGGGGAAAAAGTGACGGCTGGGCTGGGCAGGGGGGGCTGCCTGTCCCAGCAGAGAAAGTCCAGGGGTTTTGGGGTGAAATCCTGCTTTATTGGCTCGGCCATGCCCAGCACAGACACCCGGAGCCTCTGTCCTTGCACGTGGGGCACAGCAATAACAGCACACACATGGCCACATCCCACGCGGTTTCCTGTCCCACGCAGGTCCCCGTTCCCACCAGGATTCGGGCACACACTCGAGCATCCGTAGGAAGGGCTGAGGAGGCACATGATGCTTGTAGCACCCTGGTTGCCGCGTGGCCTCCAGCTGGGAGCATCATCCTGGCTCAGTCCCCTCGGGAGTGGCCTCGTGGTCCCTGGGGGTGTCTGGAAGCCACTGGGATCCCCTGGGTGCCCTCAGACAGCACCAGGCTCCCCGGAGCAGCAGGGACCACCAGCGACTGTGGGTGTATCAGGCTGGGAAAGAAGCAAAATCGGGTGCTGGGGGGGCTACAAACCCTCCCCAGGGACCTGCATGGGCTGGAGGGACTGGAACTCAGCTAGCAGCACACCCCCCTGCCAGGTACTGGGGTTCAGTGCATAGGGGTGAAATACCTGGGGTGGCAGTGGCGGTGGGGGATCTGGCTCACAGAAGGTGGTTTCAGTGTGCTCTGGGGGTTTCTCTGGCCCCTTCTCCTCCTGCAAGAGAGGCAGTGGCTGCTTGAGGACTCAGCTTCACCATGTCAGTTGCGGTGGATGGGGAAACTGATGCATGGGCTGGGGCTTGCCCAAAACCATGCAGGGGCTGGAAAACAGCTCTCAGCCCTCCCAGCTCACGTGTTGCCAGCAAGAAGATCCCCATCAGCTGGGCTCACCTGGGAAGCAGGGATTATTGGGGTGGTGTCCTGGATAGGGAGATGGTCCAGGGCTCCCAAATCTGCAATGCAACGAGCTTGGATGTGAATCACAGCACTGAGACCAGGTTGGCGATGGTATAACGAGATGCCCCGGCCTCACAGGGCTCAGGCTGACCACGTCTTACCTGAAGAGTCGCTAGCGGGGGTGGCTTGGTCCTGGGTCCCTGCGGGCCAGGGCAGACACAGGCGTTACAACAGTGAGGCCGAATGGGCTTTGCAAAAAGCTGAGCAAGACCCTCCTGGGAAGAGGGCAGCAGTGGGGGATGAGCTGGTGAGCTTTGGGTTTTGATTTCCAGGAGGAAAAAACCCTTGAGCTTCAAGTTTGTGTTAAAGCAGGGAAGGAGAAGCTGTGGGGAGAGATGGCAGAGCTGGCACAGAGAGATGCAAAATTGAGCAGAAAAGGGAATTATGGGTTAAACTTCTGGACTTTTAAAGCCAGATCTGAGCAAGGGGCAACACTCACCATAGGGCTAAGCTGTGGCCAAAGGGGTTTCTGGCTGGTGCAAGGGCCTGATCCTGCCCCCCACCCCAGCACGAAGCCAGACCCCCCCACTCACCGAGTTGTACCAGAATAACTGACTTTTTGCAGCACTTCTCAATGCTTTGAGGATGTGGGCTGCAAGATGGTTGTCACCCTTTCCTGCTAACCCAGCTGAAACCAGGACACATGCAACTGAGTGAAGGGGGGAGATGCTGGTACCCCGGTGGGGGAGCTCACCTTCCCCCTTGGTCTGCCGGTATGTGAAGAAGAGCACGAGCAGAGCAACCACCACAAAAATGGCTGGGGACCAGTACCTGATGGGAACAGCCGATGTATTTTCTACAGGAAGAGAGAGGAGATGTGGGCATGCTGCCCGCAAAGGTGGCTGGGGGCAGTGCCAGGCACTGGGGGGTCTCTGGGGGGGGGTGCAGGACCCTCCAAGGATGGTGGCACATCCCCAAGTCACATCTCTTCCTTTCTCTGTGGGACTCACGGGTTTTGTTCCCCATGGCGCCTGGTCTTGTCGGCATGGAGGTAGTGATGGTGTCTGCGGTCCAAGGAGGCATTGGGGTGGCTGTTGGCCACCTTGTCAACTTGTCCACATCCTCAGCGGTTGTGGTGGGTTCTCCCACGTGTTCCAGGACATCATCACGCTGCGTGGTGCTTTGGTGCCCTGGCTCCTCTTTTTTGAGGATGAGAGCTGGGAACAAGTGTCATTAATTCACGTTAATGGCTCCCCAAACCAGAACTGCCCCCGAGGATCAGGAACACAGCTGCAGAGCTGGGAGCTGTACCGGCCCCACCATGGTCCTGCACAGGCAGCTCAGCCTGCACTGCAGCACTGTAGCTGAGGGAAAGGCAAGGCAGGAGCAAGAAACAGCTAACCCACGTCCCTCTGGCCTCAGGTGACTTGGGACGGAGGCGTGGGGCTGGGGGGCCATCGCCTGAGCGGGTGAGCGGATGCCAGCAAAGCAGCAAGTGCTGCCGTCCCACATCCTGTCAGGGCGGCGAGCAGCCAGGTTCACACGCTTCTGCTGCACGACTCTACCAAGACAAACCCCCGCTAATGAAGAAGGTGCTAAATGGCGGCTGTGCCGCGGTGGATGCTGGAGAGACCAAGCCGAAGTCCTGTTGGAAGTCATGCACGGCCACATGCTGCCGAGCAGCGTCACGTTGACACAGCCCCCATGGAGCTGCCAGAAGTTGGGCAATTGGTAGCGGTGCCAGCATGGATGGGTGCTCTGCGGTGGCAAAACAGGCTCCCCAAGCAAACCAGCCCATGGCCGCTACGGTCCCGGCCGTGAAAGGGGCTGGGTGGTCAGAGAGCATCCCTGCTGCTTGGCCAGCAAAGGGCTGGGCAGGTATGAGGAAACCCAGGGTGTAGGTTTGTGGCACAGCCTGGCACTGACACAGCCCAGGAAACCCCAGCCCTTCCCCTGCACACAAGCCAGTCCCAAGCCAAGCAATAAAGCAGTCAACCTGAGCCTTACCCCCATGAAACAGCCAGGCAAGCATCCTGCCCTGCTGCAAAAGGTCCCCCAGGAAGGCATCGGGGCCTGCTGCCTTCACACCACCTCTTCTTCCTCCTCCTCTCTCCAGCCCCAGAGACAGGGGGGAGCCCCCAGACCCCACTCTGCCACCCCAACCCCACTCACCAGCTCCACAGCAGAGCACTGCCATGCAGAGCCACCCCATCCTGATGCCTCTTGGCTTCATCCTCCTCTGCCCCACCAAGCCTTCCACCGCCGCTCCCTCTCTTGCAATGTCTTCCTTCCCCTTTCTGCCCAACCAACAGCTTCCTGTGAGCTCAAAGGTGTTGGCACTGAAATAGGGTGATTAATGGCCAGAAACCGTGCTGGGGGGTCATTTCTGGGGCTGTTCCCAGGGTTAAGGGATGGAGCCCCGTCAGCTGTCGGCGTGGGCGAAGGAGGAGGTGATGCTCCAGCGCTGCCCTGGCTCTCTTCAGGCCAGTCCCTGGTGCCATCACTGCTGTTTTAAGCCCTGTCCAGGCTGGGGATAGGAGTTACAAGGACAGATTTGGTGCCACACAGACGAATCCCTTGGTAAAATGCATGACCCACCGAGGTATATATTTTTAATTGATCGACATGGATTTGAAGAACTCAAAAACAAGCATGTCATATACTGTGAAAATGCAGAGAACAAATAAATTACTCCACAATCTTGTCAATAATGGACTGTTTTCACCCAAAATAATATGCAGACAGAAACTGAGCTCGGATGTGTCTTGCATTTTTATTCCAGCAGCTCCTAGAAGGCTCTCCTGTGCCAGGCACTTCAAAGAAATCTCCGGTTTCATCCCTGAATAATTTACTATCAGCACAGACAAGACAAAGAGCAGGGGGGAGCAGCACACACGGGAAGAGGCTTCCCATCGAGGGCAGCATCTGTCTGTCCGGCGGCACTGGAAAATTGATGCCAATGTGCGCGTTTCACTCAGTTGCTGGTTCTGGGTGGGTTTGGGGAGCAGGAAGGGTGGGGACATGCCCTGTGCCCTGCTCACTGGGCACCCAGTTCCCTGTAAGTCCCAGCTCAGGGTGAACCCACGCAGACCCTGCTGCAGGACACGCATTCCTGTGGGTTGCAGCCACTACCACGCCATGCAGCATCCCTGCATCACTTGGGGCTTGGAGAGCTGCTCTCCTCCCTAAAGCTCCGCTGGGAAGCTGCCTAACTCCACAGACACAACACTTCACATAAAAATATTTCATCCAAGAATAAAAACCTCATATACAAACACATCAAAGGAATGGAGCAGAACAGCATCAGCCACGTTCCTTGTCCTGTTTTCCCCCAGGCCCGGACCACCTCATGCTCTTGGACCTCGGCACAGCCCTGCAGCGTCTCAGGGGATGGCAAGCAGCTCACTGGCAGCATAAAGTGATGCTGAGCATGGTGCTGGGGTGCTGCAAGGTTTGGAAGGTCCCAGGCAGGCACTGGGGAAACAGCCGGCACCGAAACTGCAGCAGCCTGGATGTGTTCGCCGTAGCAAAGGCACACGTGTTTCTATATTCAGCTTTCTACCAAGTGTTATTTTTGCTTTCTCTTGGTTTGGCAACCAAAGGAAGCAGCCAAGTATTTGCCAAGTTTAAAAGTATAGCAAAAACAAAAAGGGGCTTTAAGAGGCTCCTCAAATCTTCCTGTCCTCTTGTTCTGAGGCTCTGAACTGCCAGGTGCTGCAGAACAAATCCCAGGAGCATCAGCTCATGTCCTTGCACTGGGAGGACTGGACTTGCAGCCCCAGTTTTGGTCCATGTTCCTTGGTCTCATCACAGAGGGCAGAAAAAGAAGCCCAAACCCCACGCAGATGCCAAAACATGGGCAGAGCTCCTGTGCCAGACGAGCCTGCAATCGGAGGCAGCAGTGATGGGGAGGGAAGGGGAGGATGCTGCAGCCCCCATGGGCCAGGGCTGGGCAGAGAGGACCAGCCACCATGGTCAGAGCAGGCTCATGGGTGCACCAGAGGGAGCCGTGTCGGGGCTGCGTCACAGGATCTGTCTAGCTGACCAACGAGTAGACACTTCTCTCATCCTGCTCCTGGCACCCCGCCATACCGTTGCCCATCTTCTCATCATCCGTCTGCAACTGCAAAGAGACAAAAGCTTTGCTTGGCCTCGTGGGAGCTGATCCCTCCATTGGTGAGAGAGAGGGGACCCACGGGCTTGGCTTGAAGCTCTAGACCCTGAGAAAGCCCGGGGAAGACCCATCTGTCTGTGCCCCTTGCTCCAGGGAGCACATCTCTCACCCTGGGGTCTTGCCCATCTCCTTGCTCAGCACTGGAACCCCTGCAGGGGACATGGCCATGAGCCTGGATGGTGAAATAAATGGTTTTGAAGGTCTCCACGCTGGCATTCGGCATCTTCTTTGGGTCATCTTGCTGTGCCTTAGAGAAATTCTGCAGGTGCACCTGAGGAAAAGGTTTTAAAAAGTATTTCCAGAGTTCAGAGCTGGCAAAGGGATTTCAAAGCCCGGGTGAGCCAGGGACAGAGGCCCTGGTCATGCACTGAGAAGTGCAGGCAGGTGGCTGTGGCCGTCCTGGCTGCTCTTGGGCCAGCCCCAGCACTAGCATGTCCCCCTTCAAGTTCCCAGGAGGAACTAACAGACAAAGCCAGGGGTTGTCCAGCTACCGTCCTTCCATCCCATCCCCACCACGCAGCCCCCAGGCCGTCCCTGTCCTCTGCAGGGACCCCCCAGCTGTGCAGCCCAGTCCAGCCACATACTGGGAGGACAGCAATGAGCCTGCGTGGACTCACCTGCTGTGAAGGGCCGACTTGGGCGTACACCGTCATGTCCTCTGCTCTGGCCTCTGCAAGGAGAAAAAAGTGGAAGTTCAGTGAGGGAGTGGGTTGCTGCAGCTGGGAAGGGTCTGTAGTGGATCTCCCTGCTTGACCCATGGTGCTGCTGGGATGCTCCTCGCTGAGGGCTGGAGGGAATCTCGGCTTAAAGTGTGCCAGGCTCAGGCAAAAGCTTAGCCGTGCAGGAGCTGCAGCACCCAGCAGCCCCTTGGAGCTGATGGAGGTGTTTGCTGTGGGTCTGGGTGGAGGTGAGCATTGCTTCTCATCCCACTGACCCTCCTGCCCCGGCCACTGCAGGAGCAGGGAGCTTGCTTCCAGTTCAAAGGACAGCAGTCAAAGGGACTTGCCAGTGAAAATCAGTGCTTTTTTATTTAAATACAAGATCCCAGGCTGCTTTTGGAGGGTGATATGCATTTGTCTCTCCTTCATGTGTAGCCACCATTGCAGCAATTGTTAGTGTCGTCTTGTTCTTTGGCTCATCAAACAGAGGTGGGGAGAGAGGATTTAAATCCTTCATAATCCCTGTTTTGGTTCAAAATGTCAGTGCCTCCCATTTGAAGCGCTACTGCCAGCCCCACAGAGGAACAGCCATGCAGGCTTCAGCCCATGCACAGAGGAGCGCTTTGGGGAGAGGTTTTGCCCATGGTTCCCGAGGAATGAGCTGGATCCAAATTATGGGCTGGGAGGACCCTGTGGTCCTGGTGCTGGGTGCACCCCAATGTCCCGCTTGGGCACATGCAAATGCAAAATACAAGGCAGGAACTCCCCCATTTGTGTCAGCTTTATTTCAGCTTACAGAAACAACAAAACACACGCATAAAAAAAGAAAAAAGTCAGCAAGATCTTTGCTGGGCATTGGCTCAGAAGTAGCAGTGATGGGCACGGCATGTCCCATCACAAAACAGCCCTGAATGTCAGGGAGAGGAGATGAGAACTGGTCCAGTGATTTCTTCTTCCACCAGGTCTCTTGGTTGGACTTATATCCTGAACCCCTGAGTCTAGCAGAGCTGATCCCAAAGCAACATGAAGGGCACACTTCAGTCCCTGCAGCCGCCATTGTGGGAAACCAGGCAACGGCTGTTTCAGGCAGCAATTTCAGGCAGCAATTTCAGGCAGCAGTTGCAGGCAGTGGTTGCTTGAGTTGCATGTGGTGCTGCAGGGGAGTTGTTTCTGGTCATGGGCACACGACCCCTCATTGCTTGTCTCTGACCCCCAGTTGTCTCTTGCCAGCTTTTCCCCAAAATCCTTCTTGCTTTGGTGATCTCATGGCTGTGCTCCCAGCTCCTTCTTGGTGGGCTGGCAGGAAGTTTTCCAGCAAGAGACTGGGGGAGAGCACGGCTTTAGCCACTGCGATATCACCTGGGATCATCCCCTTTCACTCGCCTTTGTGGGTGCAGGGTGGGGGCACAGGGAGGTATCGGGGTCCTGCGAGCTGGGGTATGCTGTGGTACTAAGCCACAGTGATGGATGATTTCCCTCCTGATCTTAAATGCGACTAGGCTATTCCCACCAGGAAAAAGGGGAAGGGAGGGCAGTGCCTGGGGGAACCCCAAAGTCCTACCTGTGTTCATAGCCTCAGCTGCAGGCAAATGGAAGATCCTCCAGCCTGGGGGAGAAGCAACACAGGGCTCCTGTCAGCAGCGGCAACAAAAGCAAACCCCATGCAGCATCTTCAGATCTGGCTGCTGCAGCCCCTCCTGGGTGCCTGGGCACTGGGCCTGGGTGCATCCTCCCCTCTCAGGTCCTATCTCCTGCTTGCCAGGTCTGCAGGGATGGTTACCCACAGGGGAAGCAGCTCACCTTTGAATTTACAGTAGATTACAAAGATAACCACTGCTAAAAGCGCTCCGGCTCCAGTCACCAATGCAGCCATGATTCCAGCCTGCCTGCTGGAGTAGGTGCCTTGAAAGAGAAGAAGGTCCGGTAACAACATCCCCAAAATACATCTGTCTCTTTCTGGCATCAGAGAGGGGGGAAATAGGCACGTCTCTGCTTCAACACCCCACTGAGCCCTTCCCTGCTTTGCAGGGAGCCTTATTTCACAATTACGTGGTCCAAGACAGAAAAGAGGCGACACGCTGCATGAGGACAAGTGGCTTTCCAAACAGAGCAGCAGCTGGGAGACTCCTGCCCCAGCCCCTCCATGGCCACGGCTGCCCCTGCCGATGCCCCTTTGCCCTCCAGGGACTTCACAGGTGGCTTTTTGAGCGGAGGAACCCCACGTGGGCTGGGGGCAGCAGCTGCACACAGAGTCACACTCGCACCTCCAGCCCATCCTTGGCTCTGCCTCTCCGTTGCACGAACTGATTTAATGTTCCCATCCCAAGCCAGGACTTTTTGGGGGACACCCCCCTCTCCCCAAACTCCCCAGGTGACAAAGCACATGGATGCTAAGGGCACAGCCCAGAAAGCCTGAATATCCCCCCGTGAGCTGTTTTGGGAGAAGATGGACTGTGCTGGCCTCAGGCTCCCCATCTCTCCCCTCCCCAGGCGTGGGGGTCCAGCGCAGCCGGATGCTGTTAGCTGGCTTGGGCACACTCAGACATTTAGGAGCCAGGCCAGACACGGACACGCAGTTTGGCATCTCACCAGTTGTGGGAGGGTGGCTTGTGTTTTCTGGTGGCACAAGCGACACAGTGAGGGGAGAGAACAGGGAGAGAGGTAAATGCCTCTGCCAGGGGTCTGCGTTTCTCACTTTGCACGCCAAGACACAGCTCAGGGGAAAGCTGGAGCCACCAGGAGCAGGATATGGCCCATCCCTGCCACCCACCCATGCATATTTCCATGGCTGTTACCTGCACAGAGGGCAGAAGGCGAGATGATGGTAACATTGCGGCTGCTGACAGGGTTTTGTGCCGTGCATGTGAGCGGGATGAGTGGCTTGTCCGGGGATGACTCCTCCACCAGCACTGTGGGCCCCTCCTGCCATGACAAGCCCCCAGCGCTCCAGCTGTAGGAGATGTTGCCGGAGCCAGAGCCCAACGCGGTGCAGTGCAGGGTGTAGAGGCAGTCACCAGCCGAGCAGTTCTGCGCCACACAGGTCACCGTCAGCACTGCCAGCTCCCCTGTGGGAAGCGGGGGGCTGTCAGGAAATCCCCAATCCCCCCATTTAGTACAAAGCATTGGGAAAAAAAAGCCAACACTAAAAGGCACTTACTGTACACATGTAGGGTGAAGGTGGCTTTTACCCCCAAGGTCTTTGCGGTGTAGGTACCAGCGTCTTCCATCCTCAGCTGGGAGATGGTGAGCGCGCTGCCGTTCTTGGAGAAGGCCAAGCGCGGCTTGTAGTTGTCATCAAAAAATGTGGCTTCAGGAGGATCGCCGAATTTCACGGTCACTATGACATCGTTGCGAAAGCTCCAGGCTGTGGCTTCTTTATCCAGGTTCTTGAGGTGGAAGGTGACAGACCTGCCCACGGCCCCAGTCACCTCTGCCCCATCGCTGGTGCATGCTGGAGAGAGAAGCCGGGCTGAAGTTGGTGTGCCCAGGGAGAAGATGCACAGCAAGCTTGGGGCCTGGCTGGTGGAGAAGGCAAGAGGGCTTGGGGAAGGGTCCTTGGCCAAAAAGAAGAGCCTCAGCCAAAAAGAAGAGCCTCACCCTGCTGCAATCACACAGCATGATGCCATGGACAGGCTGATCTATACGGGCCAGAGCCCCCTGTGCTATCGCGCACACAGTACCTCTGTTCAGCTGCGGGTGAAGTCATAGGTTGGTTTGGGTTGGAAGGCACCTTTAAAGGTCACCTAGTCTGACCCCCCCGCCATAAGCAGGGACATCTCCCACTCGATCGGGTTGCTCAGAGCCCCGTCCAGCCCGACCTCGAATGTCTCCAGTGATGGGGCATCGACCACTTCTCTGAGGCCAGTGCCTCACCACCCGCAGTGTAAAACATTTCTTCCTGACATCACCCCTCTTTCAGTTTAAAACCATTACCCCTTGTCCTATCGCTACAGGCCCTACTAAAAAGTCTGTCCCCATCTTTCTTATAAGTATTGAAAGGCCACAGTGAGGTCTCCCTGGAGCTTTCTCTTCTCCCAGCTCTCTCAGCCTCTCTCCGTAGCAGAGGTGTTCCAGCCCTTGGATCATTTTTGTGGCCCTCCTCTGGACCCACTCCAACAGGTCCGTGCCTTTCCTGCACTGAGGATCCCAGAGCTGGACGCAGTACTGCAGGTGGGGTCTCACCAGAGTGGAGCAGAGGGGCAGAATCTCCTCCCTCGACCTGCCGGCTACACTTATCTCTATGCACCCCAGGAGATAATTGGTTTTCTGAGGTGCAGACACACATTGCTGGCTTACCCAAACTCTCTGGGGCATCCCTGGGGACAAGGATGCGTGCTGGATCACTGACACTGGATATGGAGAGCACTGAGGAACCACTCCATTGTGGGGTGATTGCAGGAATTAGGGGATTCCTTTTTATTTTAAATAAACTAATTGCCTCTGAGGCTCTGGGCTGAGGAGGACCTGTGCTTTCACATGCCCCAAGGGCTCGTGAAGCGAGCAGCACCAGGTTCCCCTGCAGCTACAGGACACCCACACTGCTTCCCGCATGCAAAGGGGGTGCAAGGGACAGACCCTTGAGGTGCAAAATGAAAGTGCAAGGAGGAGTTTGCAATGGCTCAGAAAGGTCAGGCAGGTTCCCTTTCATCACCAGTCCAAAAGGCCAAGCTCACCTACACGGGCAGGCAAGAAAACAGATAACCTCTTCCCCAAATGTGCAGCTGCTTCTTCCCTCTTCTGAGGAAGAAGACGACATTTCCCTTATTTTGAGGATGGATCTACTTCCCATTTTAAAAATCAGTGCTGCCCAGTCTGGACTGGGGACAGAAGTTTTCTCCCCAGTTCCTGGAAGGGAAATTGATCCTGGCTTAGCCAGGCAGCCAGACCCCGAGGTTGTCACCTCTCCCCAGGGCTCTGCATTTCTGCTCACCACTGCCTGACCCCATGGGGATGCCTCCAGGACATTGAGAGCAGGCATCTCTTGACTGCATGGAAGGAAGAGCTGGTCGGGGAGGATAAACTTGCAGAAGGAAATTCAGCTAAAACAGCAGATGAGGACTCATCCGGTGGTAAAGCCCTCCTTGAGACTGCAGGGAGGGGGCCAGGGAAGAGCCAGTGTCTGCTCATTTCCCTCTTGCCTAAAAAAAGGCAGAAAGTGTCTCCTGTTCCAAACAGCCCTAAATACCCCACAATGTTCCCCACAGGAACATAGAAAACTCAGAGATGACACGGTGGGGACAGACCCTGAACAAGGAGCAGAACGGTAAACTTGGTGGCTGATGCACATCCGGCAGCAGCTGGAGAGACGCTGGGCTGGAGTGGAGACCTGATGCATTCCCTCATTAGCAGAAAGGGACCACACGAGAGCAAGAGGCCAGCACCAGGTTGCACTGGGTGTCTTTCACCCTGGTTTCCCCAACATTCTTGGGACGAACTCCATCCCTGCAGAGCTGCACCTGCTCTTGGCACCGCTGGTCCCACACATGCCAACCCTGTCCCTGCTCTCCCAGGAGTCCCTAAAACCACCCCAAGTCCCCTGTGGGCTCCTTCCCTTCCACCACCAAGGGAAAACGAGCACCTTGTACTTACTTGCTTGGTGGAGGAGGAGGGCGAGCAGCAGGCACCAAAACATATCCATTGCCTCACAGCGCACAGAGAGGGGCTCACCGTACACAGCATCTACTACAGATCATGCATGATAGCAAGAGGAAGATGTATGCAGCTGCACCCACACAGCTTCCCCTCCAGTGGCTGATCACCACAGTGACATCAGGCAGTGACATCATCGCAGTGATGTGTCTAGTACCAGAAGGCGTATGACAAGAAGGAAAATCCCACATGTATAATGAAAACTTGAGCTGAAGAACTCCATTTTGAAGGAAAGATGAGTGTGGCAGCTGGGACAAAGAGAATCATCATGGCCATGTGTGACAAGTGTCCCAGCTCTTCTATGGGAACCAGCTCTAAGAGAGGGGTGTCGTGGAGACCATCGCAGGTCAGTGCCCAGGAGCACAGTGGTGCCCATGGACCGATCTCACCAAGGGCATCCTTCATAAGGGACGCTGAGATCCAAACTCTCCCATCCCCTCAAACTCCATCCCCCCTAAACAGGACAGCTAAATGACAACTGCAGGGAAACCAGCCACTTCCCTAATTCGGATTATTCTGGGAAGTAGCATGACACCAGTGTCAGACTGAAATTCAGGTGGGGGAAGCGTGCTGGACAAGCTGGGGGATGTGAGGCTTTAAAATAACCCTGGTTCCTCTACCCCAGCAAGGAAGTGGGGGCTGCTGTTGCCCTTCAGTGCTGTGGCAGGGGCTGCCTCCCCCTCTCAGCCAGAAATTCAGCTTTAAATAGTCCACTTGGAAGATCCTGAACTCCTAAAAGCAGCTTGTGTTTCACAACACCCTGGCAGGGGGGCTGAGATGAGAGGCACAAAGAGACACTCTGAGGAATGAGCTACCCCATAACCCCCCTTTGCCACCTCCAACCATCACCTGGGAGATGGGGGGGGGGTGTCTGTGGCATTGTGTCTCAGTGCTCCTCTGCAATGGCAATATTAGCAGTTTTATTTGAACTTTTCCCCATATTGAGCATCTGATGGCCCCTCAGAGCCATGGGGTGGGCTGCAATGAGTGCACGCATGCCCGGCCTGCGCGTTGCAGGGTCAGGCACCTTCCCCATTATTCTGCAAGGACCAACACAGGTAGCACTGGGCTCCATCCTGCACAAGTGCCAGGCACAGAATTTGGGGCTTTTGCACCATTTTAGAGGCAGAAGGGCAATTGTGACCTTGCCCTTCCCTGGACCCCCCCCAAGCTCCTTGGGGAAGCGGTTGCTTTGCGGGCAGACTTTTCCAAGGAAGCCGCTCAGCTGGTTTTCTGTTGCAATGAAAGAAGGAAACTGGGGAGGTGCAAAAACACTGATTTCTCTTCCCCCTAAAGCCTGATGCAGCGTATGACACACTCCTCCAGCAAACCTTTCCAAAACACTTTACTATAAATTTATTTTCCTTTCCCTTAGCAGCGGCACACAAGATCAGACCTACTGTATGAGCTGAGTTATGTTCGGATTATAAAATAGCTCAGACTCAGGGGGGAGTTGGAAAGATTTTACAGCCTTGGTCCCTCATCCAGGCCATCTCCAGCATCCCCACACCAGATATTTCTGAAGGGAGGTCGGGAGCTGCTGCAGGCAGGGGGTGGCCAAGGCACAGGCAGGGGATGCCTCCCCCTCTCAGCCAGAAATTCAGCTTTAAATAGTCCACTTGGAAGATCCTCGCCTGTTCCCATAGTCATCAGTGGAAAAGGATGGGGATGGAAAAGCACAGTGGGACACAGCTGCTTCCCCAAGCACGGGCATGGGCTGCCAGTGTCCCCAGTGCAGGAGGCAGCCAGGGCTGGGCAGGCACCAGGCAGGGCTCAACTCCAAGGGCACTGTAAAACTTTCTTTAGCACTTGGATAAAAACCCAGGCATTTTGTAACCAGTTGCTGAGCAGAGGTCAAAAAACAAAACTCGTTTCTGATTTTTTCTCCACTGCCATTGAACCCACAACCCTGCACATCACCAGTGTCACTGGCTGCCAGGAGCTGGGGGCTCCCTCTAGCGAAGCCGGGCGCCACAGGATGAGGCCATGGGGTGAAAGCCCATGGGGCTGGGATGAGATTGGGATGCAAACTTGCTCTGGCCATGCTTCCCAGTGCTGCCTCACTGTGCTGGCAAGGCTGACCCTTCCCCTCTGAGGCACTGATTCTCTCTCCCTCGCATATGCCCAGCTGCGGGGTTGTATCCAGAGCCCCTCGACCCTCTCCCAGTGCTTCAGCATCTTGCTGGCCACCCTTAACCACAGCCTGGGGAGATTTCTTGCCTAGCTTCAACCCTGCTCTTTGCTCCACTGTCCTTCACCTCCATGGCCATCGTTGCAGCCCCAGCTTGGCTGCAGTGGGGGGGTCAGCGTGTGCCAGAGTGTTTTGCCCCGATTCCCTAGGGACAAGCAGAGTATCCTCCAGTCGGGAATGTGGATGTCAGTGCCCGGCGAGCAGATGCGGAGGCTGGGCTCGGCTGCTGCCCACTGCCTGGAGAGGATCAGGCCATGGGCATCATCACGCTGGCGTAAACTGTCATGGGCTCCTTGTCAGGGCTCTGCAGCAAGGATCAGGGAAGCAAAGGGGTCAGCGAGGTGCCTGAGCTGAGGAGGGGAGGCTGTGGGTTGCCCCATGGTGATGCCCAGTCAGGGTGAGGACCTGGTGGGGGGCAGCCACCCTTACCTGCGAGAGGGATGGGTAGCCCTGTGGGGCAGACGGCTCTGCCAGATGGCTGTGTGGGGGTCGTGGGGCTCTGCCGTGGGCTGGGGCTGTGTCCGTGGGCAGGCCGGTGGCTGCAGCGTAGATGGTGGTGCAGGAGGGGTGCTCGGTGGCAGGGACCCCTTTCTGCTTCTGCTTGGAGAATGAAGGATGAGCAGCAGTAGGCAGCTTGCCACAGGGGCCCTTCCCTCCCTCCACCCTGCATGGGCCCACTGTTTCCTCCTCAGTTTGTGCTGATCAGGACTCGGGGAGGGGGAAAAACCACACAGTCTGGCCCCAAAGCCACCCTGGGCTGCTGGGGGCTGGGGAAGTTGCAGCACCCAACCTTATTCCCAGCAATTCCTAAATTAATGGTGACTGGGCTGACTCCTGGAAAGGCAGGGATGGGTGACCCCAGGGAGCCCATGGCCACCCCAGTGTCCCTCCCCACCCCGCCCACAATTTGACCCTCTCCCTCGCCAGCCACAGGGCTGTGTTGACACCCAGTGGTCAAAGCCCATCACAGAGGGTGCCGCAGACCAGCGAGGAGGCACCCAGCAATGACCCAGAGCTTTGGGTGCTGCTGCTGCCCAAAGCCAAGCTGCCACTGTCCGAGACCCCCACCCAAGAAACCCTGGTAGGGTCATGCCCGCGCTCCCCACCGGCTGCAGCATTCGGGGTCCTATTACTAAAAGAGCATTTCCATCACTAAAGGAGCATTTTTCCACCAAGGTGCTGAGGCCGGCTGGGGTCATGCTGGTCATGGCTCACCTCCACCCGCTGCACTTGGGAGTAGATGGTGTGCACTGCATTGTCCTCAGCGAGTGGCAAGTGCGCCTGCTCCTGCTCCTGGCTGGCTGCGGGGGGATAAGCAAGTCACCAAGATGCAAGGGGAGCAGGGACTGGGGGGACCCCAGCGCTTTGCAAGCCACATCCTGCTCCTGTGCTCCAAGGCACAGCAAGGGTGAGCCCATGCTGGATTTGTCCCCAGCACGGTGCCCGCTGGCTGGACCCAGCTGCATCCATATTGCTGTAGCTGCCCAGGCGCAGTCAGAGGATTTCTGGCTGCCGCAGGTCAGCTTTGCAAATCTGTCGTTACACAGGGAATGGGAAGGAGGAGCACGGCCCGGCTGAGGCACTCATAGAGATAAGGCGCTCTCTAATTTGGGCTGGGATCATTCAATTCCCCTTGAGACTGTGCAATATGAGCTTAGAAGCCCACCATCCAGGTAGAGTGTTGGATATCATCTGCAGGTTCGTTTCTTTTTTTTTTTTTCTTTTTTTCCTTTTTTTTTTTTTTTTAAGCTCGTTTCCTTCCTGCCTTTTACTCTGTGCTTCAAGAGAAACAGGTTTCGTTCATCCCAAGGGCCAGGGTACTTGGTAGACAAGGTGCCCACAGGAATCAACCCCTTGGTCAATTCGCTAGCACTGGCTGGGGGCAGCTTCTGTCCCCCCACAAGGCTCACCCCACTCATGGACCACCAACTGCCCCAGCACCCCTCCCTTGTGGCACTTACCGATTGGCGTGGCCAAATAGGCAGTCACAAACACCCCAGTGAGGACCATCACTGCAGCGATGGGCACCGCCACCATCAGCACAAGATGCTCTGTCCTCAGCTCGGCACTGCCTGGTATGGGGGACAGAGAGAGGAGGGGGTCAGCCACTGGCCCTGGGGCCCAGGGTCACCTAGAGCTCAGCAGAACAGGCTGCTAAAATCTTTCTTCATCTCATCACCTAATTTTGGGCTGATGATTTCTGTAGAACAGGAAACAAGGGGCAGGAAGTTCTTCTCTTGAGCAAAGCTCTCTTTAATCGCCTCCAGACAGCAACAGTCAGCAAAAAGCCAGACAAAGCCCTCAAAACGTCACTGGTGGCTTTATGGAGGCCTGTGGGGAGGCAGCCCCTTTGTATAATGCCCTTGCATCGCAGGTGTGTGAGAAGAGGGCCCTCGGACGGAGCTCTGCAGCTCCAGCTGCCAGCTGGGCTCCCACCACTGGGAGGCACCCAGGGCGGCCCCGCTCCTGGACTACTAACGGTGACACCATGCAGGGGTGTCCCACAGTGCAAGGGGTTTTGGGGCAAGGCAGGTTGAGAAACAAGCCCGAAACCCTCCTGGAGCATCTCATTTCAGCACCTCCTTTTCCTAAGCAAAAGTCCTGACCTTTTTTCCCATGGGGATGTTTTCTCAGCACAGGTCACTGAGAGAGCCCCAGCAGAGGTGTGACTTCACCTCTGGGTCCCCAGGGAAAGGGGCAGCCACCGTGCTTCCCAGCCCCGCAAAAGTCCCCCATGTCACAAGGGAGTGCTAGAAAATCCCAGTGAGACAGAGCGTGACTTTTGCCCCGAGAGCCTCTGAAGGGGAAGTTGTCACCGAGGTTTTTATCCTCCCCAAATCACCCAGCGTATGAGTCTCATGCATTTAAAAATGAGCCTTGAGCACTGGGGCACAGCGAGTGCAGTGGCCTGGCTGACCGGGGAGGCAGGTGGGACATGCAGCTCCACGACCGGCATTTACAGGAAGGACTCAGCAACCCCGGGCGGGTGACACAGCAGCCACTTTTCTTGCAAAAGGCTCCTTTGAGGCTGCCTAAAGCAGCATGAAAAAGAAGTCCCCTGAAAAGCAAGAGCAGGACTAGGAGGCTGGAGAGAGCCACATCGGCAACTGGGGACTTACTTACCCCCTTGCTCATAGCTGCACTCGGAGAAGTTGAAGGCAACAACCCGGCTGCTGACTGGGTTGCTGGCCGTGCAGGTGCAGGGGATGCTTGTGTTCTGCAGGGGGTAGGAGAGGTGCAGGAGGCTGCCATTGCAGGAGCAGAGCCCCAAGGTGCTGGTGTCCCAGCTGCTCCAGCTGTAGGAGACTTTGTCCCCTTTCTCTGCCGTGCAGTTGAGGGTGACAGTGCAGCTGCCGTTGGCCAGCACCCAGCTGAGGATCTGGATGCTGGGTTCAGACACCGGCTCTGGAGAGAGGGAGGGAGGAAAGGGGTAAAAGTTTGTGTCTGGGAAAGGAGGCAAACGTTGCCTTGGCCCTTGCCTGGGAAATCCTGCCGGCCTCTCCTAAATCGCCGGGAGATGGAGAGGAACCGGTCTGGCCCCAGAACCACTGCAAACAGCATTAGGGAGGGACATGGTCTGTACGTACCCAAAGGCTCCAGATGGGATGAAAGACTCACTGCAGCACCTTGACATCAGGGTGGGCATCTCCCACACCTCCTTGACCACCACCCACCTCCCAGACCTGCTCCCAGCACCACAAGAGGCTGGGAGCACCCAGCACTGTCCTCCCAAAGCAGCGTGTCTCACCATACACCTCCAGCTGTATCTGCCAGACTTTCTCCTCCGGCCCCTTGCTGACTATGTACTCGTAGAGCTGCGTGTCCTGCCGCTGGGTGTTCAGGATCTCCAGGGAGAAGTCCAACTTGTGGAAGCGAGTTCGTCCCTGCATGTAGTTGGTGTAGTTGCCACCTGAGTACTTGAGCAGGACAAGCTTCCTCTGTGGGTCCTCTGTGTCCCGCTTCCAGACGGCTGCCCCAAAGCGCAGGGTGAGTTCCTGGAGTTCAGGGGGGATCCGTAATATTGTCGCCTTCCCCAGGGTGCCCAGCACAGTCTCCCTCGCTCCGCGGCCCATGCCTGGCAGGAGACCAGAGAGAAGGGCTGAGACTGGCAGGGAGGCACAGGACGGCTCAGAACGACCATGTCCCCCGCCCCCCGCCCCCCGTCCCGGCTCTGCTGGAGGAGGGCGGATGCCCACAGAGCTGCGGTAGCCAGCAATGGCTTTGGACCCACCCTGGTAATCCACAGATTGGGGACAGCTTAGGTTGCGTGAGACAAATGGGTCGAAAATTGAACAGATTATCGAACCACATTTTCAAGCTCTGGATTATCCACCACATCCTGCACCAGTGATTGCTGGCAGGTGGGAACATGAGTTGCGCTGTAAATCAGGGTTCAGTACGAGCTCTGCCCCCTGCCCACCTCACAGGACCATCCTCAGAACCAAAGGAGCAACACCCAGCCCTTGGCCCCACATCCTTGACCCTGAAGGATGCAGGTTGAGGGCTTGGCTGAGGAGCTGGAGGGGAAGCATTGCCTTCCTCTGCTCCTCTCCTGGAGCAAGGCGAGTCTTTATCTGCATCAGCCTCAGCGTTCTCCTGCATCAGGCACCACTGTGTGCGATGGCCGAATCCTGGTTTAAGGCTCTGGACTTTCTGTTGGCACAACAGCAGCCAGTCAGAACAGTGAAACATCACCCCATGGAGCGGGGCTGCCTCAAGCAGGGGAAGGCGCTTGTGGTCCCAGTCTGGTGGGGATGCTGGTCCTGGGAGAAGGGTGCTGGCTGTGGTGGGACCACCTTGAGAAGTCCCAGTGCCACTAGGGCAGTCCAGAGGGAAGCAATGCTCAGTGGTTCTTGGCCAAAGCCTGCAGTTGGGTGCATGTCATGGCACCCACCTCCCTCAAGCACCTCAGCGCCAGAAACCTTCAGCGGGACTTTTCTTGTAGAAATCGCAAGAATTTGGAGGTGGGCTTAGGTGTAAATCCCAGGCTGTCCTTCTTCTGGTCGAGGTGGTCCCAGGTGCATTTCTTGATGGCCACAGAAAAGTGCTCTTAAGAAGAGTGCAAGCATCTCCCACGTGTTCTGAAGCATCTGAATCACCCGGATTTCCTGGAGGGCATGCAGGAGGATCTTCTCCCCCAAACCCTTTCCTGTCTTTTGCTGCAAGGCAGTGATTACCCACACCCCTGAGCAAACAAGTTTGTTTGCATAGGAAACAGCATGGGGAGAAATGCCAGCTCACCGTTGCTGCCAGCCACCCTGAACATGGAAGGGACCCCACCATGTCACCCCCACATTTCCTATCGACTTCTTTCCATTGGGGTGAGGCTTTGCCCCAGAGTAGAAAAGAAAAGAGGAGGAGCTACCCCAGAAGAACAGGTCTAGAAAGGCCCAGATAAGCCCAGTATCTGCCTCTCCTGCGGCACATATGGTTCCAGTAAAAACTACAGAGCACTCTCCCTGCCGCCATCCCAAGTGAGTGGCATCGCTTATTTTTGGCCCTTCCATGGCATGAAACACAGTAGTTTCTGAGCTGTCCCTGTGGACTGCATCTCCCCAGCATTGAAGCAGCCATGCGGACATGGTGGTCATCCCCCAGAAGCCCCACGGTCTGTCTGACCCAGTACCTCATACATTTTTTGCTGATACATTTACTGTAAAGCCCAGCATGCAGACGGATGGGTTTTCTCAGCAACATGTGTTTTTGACACACAGCAGTTAGGCTCCTCATTAATTACCAAATGGAAAAGCCCTTTTTACATCACATTAGAAAAACCCTCTACCCCAGAGAGAAGCATCTCCTTTCCGGGGAAGACGACTTGTCTGAAGCAAGACTGCAGGAGGATGGATGTAAAGAGGTCTGAAACCATCTGCACTGAAGCCCAAATGGAGGAAGGTAAGCGATTCGCACTGGCACAGCGCTAGGTCCAGAGCAGCCCTCGCATCAGATATTGGGTTCATGGGACTTTCAGTGTGCTGGCTAGGCAGAAAACCCCGGGGGGATTTTAAAGGCAGGTATTCTAGTAACAGTGAGCCAGCAGAGCTGAGGAGAAGCCCCCGCTCTGCCAAGGTTGCTGGTTTTCTGGCCAAGCCCTTCATTTGGTGACCCGTAATTACACAGATGCAGTGGCAGAGGGCTGATGGGGCTGCAAGGACACACAGCATCCCCAGGGAAGGGGAACGGACATCAGGCTGGGACCAAGAAGAGCGTCAGGATTAGTCACAGCTCCCTTTGCTCTGCTCTGCTCGGGGGCCCCAACTCACCCGAGTGCTTTTGCGCAGGCTCACTACCACTGAAACCGATTTTGCAACATCCTCCCATAACTGCTGACGGGCTGGGAGGAGAGGACCCAGGAGCCCTGGTGTGTCCGGGTGGTCCTCACTCCCTGACCAGCTGGTCTGGGGGGAATTTTGACTTGTCTGGGACACCATCATCCCTAGGACACCATCCACAGCCAGCCAGGGCTCTTTGGGCACCCAGAAAACAACCATTGCCCACTGCCAGTCCCTTTCCACTTGGCTTATACACATTTTATTGCTTGGGTACTGTCTCCCAGCCCACTGACACCTCTTGATCTGAGACACTTGGTATCGCAGAGTAAGACAATCCACCAAGGACCTTCATCTCAAGTATCTCAGTTCACATCTGGTACTAAATTATTTGCTCAGTGCTATTAATACCCCATTAAAACACACGGTAGAGTGCTTCACTATTGCAGCTGTACTTTGTCCATCACCACCTTTGTTCATCATCTTTCATTCTCTCCTCCCTCAGCCTGACTAGTAGGAGCATATTAGGGATGCACCACACATCTAGCTTGGAGTTGCGAGCCATTTATCTTTTATATGCATATTTATACTCAATCTGCCCGTCCACCTGGCACACAGCTCATGATTTCTAAAGGTCTTAATATCTGACAAAAATCCCCAAACAATCCAACCCAAGTATTGCACGGAGAGGAAAATATACATACCCCAAACACGGCCAAGAGAGATCAGCAGCCAGAGACACACACTGCAGCCCATGCCTTGGTTCACGGAGCCTCTGCTGCAGTGGAGTTAATATCTACTGCCGGGCTCATTATAAGGACAGGTGTACTCAAATCAGAGACGATGCCTTGGGCCATGTGTTTCCTGTTTTTGGCTGAATAACTCTTCTCTTTTTTTTTTTTCTTCAGTGGAAAGTATTCAAAGCACTAAGCCGTGCTGCTGAACGCTTCACCAGAGTCAGCCCAAGAGACCTGCAGAAGGAAGCAGAGCATCGATTTATAGTTTGTGCCAGAACTGCATCATCCTGCCACAGGTCCTTAACCCAACGGCAAAAGAAGAGGAAACGACCAGCAAGTTAATCATTTCACATACGGTAACAGCTTCCTGGGGCTGTACAGAGCCTTCAAACCCTGCTACCACAGCGGGGGCAGGCGGTCGCTCCCCCCACGTGGCATCGTCCCAACCGCTGCTGTTCAATCCCAGTGCCGTGGGGCTGGTACCCAGCACGAAGCTCACCCAGAGAGACGGTGTGCACTTGTGCTCACAGCCACAATGCCCACTGGTGCAGGAAAACCCCAAATATTCTGGGATAAACCCATACCCCTACTTTGGGCTGCATGGGATCTACAGCGAGGAGGAGTATGGGTGGTCTTCAAAAACTCACCGAGGAAAAGCCCAATCCTTGTTCTCAGGCTGAGTGCTCAGGGAGGTGATCTGGACTTCAATTTGCCATCGTTCAACGCCATAGTGGGTGCTCAGGGATGGGGACAGTCACCCGTCCTGCTGGTGTCCCCCTCCGGGTGGTCATGGAGAGGGGACTGCACCCTCCCACACTCAATGGAGAGCTGGGGATCGGGAGCGCAGGGAAAACACCGCCCGCTTGTTCCACTGCTGAAAAGGGGTGAGAAAAGCTTGGTTGTTTTTCTGGTTTTAGTGGAATGAATTATTCATCTCTGTCGGTGCTCAGCCCGTGCAGCTTTAAAATAGGAGAATGTTTTTTTCCTATTGCTTTCTTCAAGTTTTCATTGCTTTCTTTGGCTTTGAGAAAAGAGCAGAGGCAACAGCACAAAGCAGGAACTCCTCCACTGTTTTAAACCAAATTTGAGTGCCACAAGGAAATAAAGGGTGATCTTACAGCCCACCGCTTTTCAGTGGAGACAAGCTCCAAGAGTTTTGTTGCCGATAAATTATTTCTAATGATAAAAACCCTAAAATCACCCCAGCATCCTGCTAGGCCACTCCTTTCCTGCTCAGAAAGCATCTAGCTGAGAAAAGAAAAGAAAAAACAAACAAACAAACAAACAAAAACCCAAGCCATTTCCCAATAATCAGCAGTTTGCTGAAGGGAAGAGCTCTGCAGAGGCCTGAAAAAGAAAGGATGAGTAAGAGCAGCACGAAGGGACTCGGCTCCTTTTCTTGCCACGCGCACACAAGGAGCTTTGGCTCAGCTGAAACATGGCGGTGGTTCCTACCAGAGGCAGCCGGCTCCCAGACCGAATGCTTGGCCAGATGGTAGAGGGCCAAAGACAGCACCTTGGGGTATTGTGCAGAGCAGCAAGCTTCCCCGGCACAAATCCCACCTGAAAAGTTGGTGGTCAGGACAGGGGTCTCCAGTGGATGGGCTCCTTCAGCTCAGCCCCCCAGGTAAGGCAGCAGGATGGTCCCCAACCTTCCCCTTGCCACGGATAGGCGCCCCGCACTTGGGTACAGGCTGTGCCGGCATGGAGAAGACTGTTGACGGCAATCTGGTCCAGGAAAACTATAAAATGCCAGTATCACCCATGGGGCCCTACCACAGCAGCATGCCCCAGGCTGGGCTGGCACCAGCCAGGAGATATGGGAAAAATTATTTAATAAGCAAAACTGTCAAGGAAAAAAGTCCTTCCAGGAAGCACCTGGGGGCACAAAAAACATACAGGCAGTCACAGAAAAAAATCCTTTAACTGAAAATAATGATCCTAAATGCCTTTACTTTCCCCATCAGCTCAGGCTGAAGTCTCCTGGCTAGAAAGATGACTGAGGCACAGCACCAGGCTCTGTATTTATTCATCACAGGAGGTTTTATGATGATGCTGTTGCTCAGCGGTCATCTTGGATTTTGTCAGAGGCAGAAAAGCCCCAAACCTCCATATGGGAATGGACCAAGACCCAAGAAAATATTTTCAAGGGGGGACATTTCTGCAAAAATATACATTGGTGCTAAAACCATCAGCCACGTGGCAGGAATTACCCCAAGCTCCTCATTAGACCCAGGAGCTGGAATGACTTGTGCTCGTTATTGATTTTTCAAATGAGCCGGCAAGGTCCCCGTTGACCCTTTGATGAATCTGCCCTTAGGAGTCTTTGCTTAAAGATGGCACTGGAAAGTGATGCTTCTTGGGTTTTCCAGAGGGTAGAGCCCGGTTCTCCCTTTTCTTGGGCTGGTTTGCTGGAGCTGGCAGGAGCAGCAGCATCCCAGGGCTGCGGTGGCCCTGAGCCATGTCCCCGTCCCTCCTTGCATGTTGAGGGACCATCTCCACTGCTCACAAGACACATCCTCCCACACCAGTGGGCCTGTGTCCCACCATCCAGAGCCAGCTCCTCCCATGGGGGACAACTGTGGAAGGGCTTCTGTCCCCAGCAAGGGTATTGGGGAGGGAAAGTGGGTCCCTCCATCATCTCCCCAGTCCCTGAGCACCCTCTGTGGCCAACCCCAGCCCAGAGAACACAGAACAGGCACCTAAAAAGGTGGTGTTTAAGGTTAAAATTAATTTAATGTATACACAGACACATTTCTGAAGGCAGAGGCCATACTCGCCCTGCTGAATACTCCCTTGCAGAGAAAGCCACCTTAGCTCTGCCCGCTTCAAGATGTTCTGGTGCTCCAGACCTGGAGGTCAGGCAGCACCCAGTTGCATCCATGCCAGTGTCACTGGTTTCAGGCTAAACACGTCATGTACTGTCCTGCACCATCACACTGCTCATCAGCACCATAAAGGCCATCATCAACAGCAGGCAATGGCCAAGGATCCCTCCAAGTCCATGGGCACCCCTGGGAAAGGCTCAGATTGGGTCTCCCCACAGATCTCAGGGCTGGGGAGAGGAGGATTTCCAAGAAGTTAACCATGAACTTAATTTAGATTGCCAGGGTTCTTGAAACACCATTGCAACAGTGTTCATCCCGGTTTTGTTCAGATCTGGAGAAAATGACCTCTGATTGAAGCAAAGTAGAAAAGGTGAGGGGGGAAAGTGAAGCATGGAACTACCCTGAAGGCAGTGGCAGAGAGGCCAGCGCCTGGGCTGGTGGGAAGCAGGTGGGTGCTGGTGTAACAGACACTGGTTATAATGGTTCCCTTGAGCAACCGCATCATTCTGCATCCAGCCAGTTTAGGGACTTCATCCAGGCACTGGGGGTGATGAGATGAGGAGAGATGTCAACCGCAGAGCATCCTTAAGCCAGACTGAGGAGGAAGAAGAGGGGGAGGAGGTGTCCCAGGACCACCAGCATGCTGGTGGTGGTACAGGCTGCAGCAGCGGAGGAGTCACCTGGAGGCAAAGAGAGACCTGGGACATGGAGAGGGCTGTGGGCTGTCCAGCCCTGGCAGGGGACCCCACCTGGTCCCCTCCCCAGCTGGGCTCCTGCCACCCACCAGCCCGCGGTGCAGCGGGAAAAGGCACCCACCACTCCTGACCCATGGGCCACCTTCAGCCTTGCAGGGACTCACTGTCCTCAGGGTCATCACCACTGCTCTGGGGACCCTCCAAAGCCAAGGCCACCTTGCAGCCCATCCCACCCAAGTTTTGCCATTTCATGTGTGCACTGCAGGTGGTACCTGTCCAGGAACAAGGGTGCCTGTAGGTCAGTGAGGCATTGTTGGAGGAGACAGGGTTGCTGACTTTGCAGGTGTAGGTTTCTATCAAGGGGTCAAAGGAGACATGCTGCTCAGAGGCACCCGCATCCTCCAGTGGGAGCTTGCTGGGGGGGATCCACTCGTAGGTCACCCCTTCAAGCCCCACTGAGCACTCCAGGGTGGCTTTGCACCATGTCAAGTCACCCCTGATCACTTTGGCGTTCACAGTGGGCTTCGGGACCAGCTCTGCAAGAGGCAACAGGATGTCACAGCCACCCTGTCCCCCCATGGGGTGCTGGGACAACCCTCCCATTCTCCCAGCTCACCATACACTGTCAGAAGGATGTTTTCAGTGTACTCCTTGCCCACCTCATCCTCCAGGTACACCTGGTACATGCTGCTGTCATTTTTCTGCAGGCAGCTGATTTTTAGGCTGTTGTTGGGGAAGAGCTCCAGGCGTCCCTTGTAGGTGCTGTTGGTATACCAGACCTTCCCCTTGCTGTCCCGGCTGGTGATCTTCACCGAGTTGTTGCGCCGCCAGTGGATTTGATGATAGGAGGTCTGGGTTTGCAGTCTGGGGCTGAGATATGCCACCCCATCAACAACCCCTACCACCTCCAATGGACCGTGTTGTGCCCAGGCTGCTGAGAAAGCAGAGACCGGTACTGCTTGGCCAGCCAGACACAGCCCACTCTTCCCTGGGACTCATCCCCAGGGACCTGCATTCCTCCCAGACACATGAAAAATGCAAATAACCCATTTGCTCACTAATTCCTAACAGCTTTGCGCTCTCTTGGCCTTGGAGGCATGTGGCATGAACAAGCCCTACAGCTGGCAGCAGAATTTCCACCTCCCCACCCTGAGCATGCAAGCACCCAGACGCCCCAGTGTTGGGGTTTTTTTTTTTTTCCCTCTTTGCTTTCATATCTGGGGTCCTTTCACCGCTCCAGGCTCACCCAGAGCAGCCCCTCAACCCTCAGCTTGGTGGTGGTGATGCCAGGGGCTCCCGCAGGAAGGGAGCCGGTGGGTCACACCTTGGCACAGTGCTGGAATGGGAAAAGCCAGGGGAGAGAGCGGGGATGGGGAGGGTTTACCTGCAGGCACATCCCCAAGGTCCCCCACCATCCCTAAAGCCATGTCCCCCCCCAACCCAGCACCCTCACCCCCACAGAACCCACCGCCATACTTTGCATGATGAAGAAGAGGAAGAGGAACGCCCTTGTAAGCCCCATCGCCATCTTCTCTCTGCATCTGCACCCAAACCCCAGAGTGGAAATCCTCTCCTCACCAGGCAGCTGCTCACCGAAGACCCCCGGAGTCTGCAGCCCCTTGCCACCGTCCCTAAACCCACGGCCAGGAGGGGGGCTCTGCAGGAAGGGGGCTGGCTGTGCAGCCACGCAGCTGGGAGGTGACATGAACCCACCACACTTCCTCCACCACTTCCGTCTCCCTTAAGAGAAGTCACCCACACGGGGTTTGGGGGAGGTTTGTGACGCCGTCCAGTGGGCGGCCAGCGAGAACAGGCACTGCACCCCTGAGCTTCCTTGAGGAAACCACACACAGCACCCCATGGACCCCTGAGCCTCCTTGGGGATACCACGCACTGCACCCCATGGATGCCTGACACCCCCACCCCCCATCAGAGTCACCCCGCTATTCTGACAGTAAATGAAAAGCAGACGCCAAGGGTCACATCTCCCCTTTACAGCTGCTGTAACCAACCCACAGGGTTCCCATTTGTCCACCTGCAAACCCAGGTCTGTGTCCTCACGAAGGTCTGGCCCCTGGACATGCCATTGAGCAGCCCCAGCTTGAGTGGGGACCACTGGCACCAGCCTTCAGGGTGTCCCTGTGATGCCGGTTTGCAGGTGGGAAGGAGATGGGAGGGATGACTTGCTGATGCTAAAGCACGTGCCACGGCCCAGCGTGCTGGCCTCTGACCAGGGCAGATGCTTAAAATGATTTTAATTACAGCCTGGATTCCTTTCTGAAAGACATTTCAGGGCCTTTGTTTGGCACCGGCTGAGGGATATGCGGGGCAGCAAAGCCAGCACAGCCCCCACGTCGGGGGCAAACAGCTGCCAGCATCTTCCCACGCACCACCCCAGCCACGAGTGAGGATTACAGTGGCCGACCCCGGCAGTGAACAAAGGGCGACAGCAGCACCCGCTGAGCCCTGACCCAGTTTAATTTCAGCCCTGAGCGGTCCCCGTCCATCGGAGAGGAGATCCGATGTCAGCACAGGGAGACGTTAGCATAAGCACACCAGCAGGCACGCAATGATGCTATGGCCGGATCACTGGCACAGAGTCAGTGGCACTGCAGTGCCGAGCACCCACCGGCTTGTCCCCACGCCTGATTACACCATGCTGATAGAAACGAATGGAGATAGGAAAGCAAACTTCCCTGGCAGGGAGCAAAGTGCTGCCTCAGCGCTTGCAGCAAGTGCTGCAAATTATCTCCAATATGCAAAAGCAGGTCATTAGCATAAATTACAGCCCCGTGATGGAGCGTGGCTTCAGCAGGAGCCCTACATGTTGATGGATGCGGCAGCCCCCAGGCTCTGTGCTGTCGCCTTCAGGTGTTTCTGCTCCGTCAGGAGCATGGAGACCAGATGTTTTGGGCTGCAAAGGGGCTGAGATGTGGCTCCTGCTTTAGCCCCTGCTCCCAGGCGGCAGCCACAGCCCAGCAAGGACGGCCACCACATCCCCAGCGCCTGCACTAAAGGATTTCCATCCCCTCCATCATGCCTGAACTTTTCCCACTGAATTCAGCTGGCCACAGGCCCCGCTGCCGCCTGCCACGTGCAGAGGGGAATGCCCTTACAGTGCAAGAAGTATTTGACTGACACCTGCACATCGTGAAAAGCAGAGCATAGGGTTTGGGATGGTGTAAACCAGCCCAGCTCTGGTGGCAGTGCCAGCATGCTGAGACTGAGTCCCCATCCATGCCAGCCCAGCCCCCTAAATTCCCTTGTTGTGGCAGCCAGACACCCCCTCCCTCCCTGTGCCAGCCTCCTAATGCAGTTCCGGTTAATGATCCCAATTAACGCTTGTTTCACAGGGAGCAGCCACAAAGCTATTTTGATCCAGGGACTTAGGCAGGAGAGGAGCATTGTGGAGCCACCATTGCTCCCCATGCTGCCATTAAAGTGCCACGTTTCATTTTCATCCCAAAGAAAAGCCCTTGATCTTGCCTTTGGGAAGATCTTTGAAGCCAGAGCCCTTCTTTCTCCACCTCCTCCTCCCATGGCCACTTGTGCTGTAGGAGCATGGGATAACTTAGTTGGGAAGGGACATGGCAGCGTCTCTGGTCTCAGCTCACCATGGGGCATCTGGGGCCATGCCCAGCCCAGCCAATGCAGGTAGGGACCATCCTGCCCAGGGCCACCTCTCCCCTACCCGACACATGTGGCTGAAATTCTGCAAAGTGCATCTCTGCACGAGATTCTGATCACTTCAGAGGGTCCCAAGTCACAAACAAGGCAATTCCCACTTCCTCCCTGTGCCCGAGGTACACTTCGGGCTATAAATAACCAATTAAGCTAATTAAACAAGCACCATAATGCCTCATACAGTCCAGCTTATATTAGTGCCTAAAAATAAATTCCCAAGGTCTATCAAACCTGTCAAGACCTATAAAAACCCACAAGATCACACACTGGCACGAAACACATACATATCACACGTGTCCTCTTCCCCCACAACCCCGCCTGTCCAATTTCACATCCATCTCCTCCAAAGACAGGTTTCCATCACCAAGTCTTTCCTCCTTCCCTCACAGGAAAGCCTCCAAGGCACAGCTGGGGTTTGCATCCTTGCAAAAACCCACGTCTGACCATTCCCATTCCAAGCAAGCCCCCAGCTTTCCTGGTTGGGGTCCTGGTGGGTGCTAGAGGTCTCTGTGTGATCCAGAAGAGTCCTGTAGGGAAGGGAAGGTCTTGCTGAGGCAGCTGGGGCACTAGGAATGGTGGTGGCCAGCAGGACCCAGGGGCGATGTCTGCAACGGGGGACACCAGCTTCTAGAATCCCCCATAGCCTGCAAGGAAATGGGTGAGGTTTAGCACGCCACAGCCTCAAAAAGCTGATGAGCTTTGGAGATACCCAGGTCTTGTCTTCCCACTGGTCTGGTTCCCGTTACCTCTATGTAGGTGGTGGAAACCAAAGCTGGGTTCAGCCTCTTCTTCTGGAGAGAAGACTGTGGAGCAGAGCAAGAACCTGCTGTTAGGCAACACACGAGCAGGACAGTGAACCCAGCACCCGGTTGATGAACCGAGAGGACCTGGGTTTCTGTGCCGCTGCAGAGGGGCCAGGGTCACAGTGGGGCAACTTCACCTTCATGGTGGGCTGAACCGTGGAGTAGATGGTGTAGTTTTGGGGGTCCTGAGGGTGGCTGGGTCCCTGCCAGGGAAAAATGGTCAAGATGCGCAAAGAAAAACAAATTTTGGGCAAAAGGGGTCATCTTGACAGCTGCTATAGATGCAACCACCACAGGGGCTGCACAGCCAAGCCCACAAGGCAGCTCCAGTCCCCCCTCACCAGCACAGGACTGACCCTACCTGCATTTTGGTGCAGATGACAGCGTAGACAGTGTTTCCTCCCACGGTGGCCTCACTGGTCCCATTCTGGGGGAGAAAGCAACCCCAGACTGGTTAAAGGATGCAACCTGGGGTGACAGACATTTCCAAACAGAGGTTCCATCCCTCCAGACAGTGTGGGGAAGGGATGCCCAGGGACATCCCCAGCACTTACAGGGTTTCGGCCGGTTTGGGCTTTGCCCACCTCCTCGTAGACAGTCAGCATCTGCTCAACTTGTCCTGGGGGAGTTTGAAGGGTCAGTTTAAGACAGCTGACATGTTAGAGCCCCCAGACTGGGGGGTTCAGCCCTCAAGCAAAGCAGAGGGAGAAAGAGGTCCCTTGGCAACTGAGAGGTTTTACTTTGTTGGCACCTGGCAGGGGCTGGGGAGGGATGGGCCAACTCAGAATAAAATGAATATCCAAACCCAAACAGTACTCTAGACCCCATGGGACAAGGCCTCCAGGTTTGGGCACCAATGCTTGGGCTGCTGGGGTGCTTCATCTAGCTCATCAACCTGGACCACCCTGCATCAGCAGGGATGGGCAAAGACTTCGTGCCCTGTGCAGCACCTGGCAGGGGGGTGACAGTGCCCGGTGGCTTATCAGGCACCAGCCCCAGGACAGAAGGAGAACACCAGGGCCAGCATGGAGAGCGTTAGGAGTGTCACAGCAGTCAGGAGGAGAGCAGGGGCTGCAAAGCCAAAAGCCCACGGCTGCCCATCCCGCCAGCTACCGCACCAACCCCAGGGACAAACCTGCCGGGGGGTCCTTTGCTCGCTTTCTCCACCAGTAGCAGGTGACAATGAGGGCTATGGAGATGGCCAGTGCCAGCCCCAGGGACACAGCCGCTGCCCACCATGGAATGATGCTGGAATGCCCTGGGGAGGAAGGAAAGGAGAAGGGGACATCTTCAATGCAGGGCAGAGCCTTGAGCCATTTCTAAACACAGTCTCCATCACAGCTCACAGATCACACCACAAGGGGAAGAGACCTGGCCAGGAAACCTCAGCCCCGGTTCTTTCCCAGGAGAGGAAGCTGGCCACATTTTGGCGTCAGTGCGACAGCCTCCACGGTTTCACTGGCCCAGGCAGGGAGATGAAGGGCCCCGAGAGAGGACTGGAAGCAGTGCGGCTTGCACACCCCCTAAATCCTGCTTTTGCAGAGCTGAGGACAAATCACCTGGCTAATTACCCCTGGGCACCGAGGCTGGGTTGGATGCCTGGTTGGATGCACAGGCTCAGAGCACTTGCGGGATCGATCCTGCCACATCCCCACCGCTGCCAGCTACGGTTCACAGCCACGCAGCACCTTCCACGCTAGCTGCGCGCTGCACCGCGGCCCCAGCCCGTGGCTACATCTCCCGCTTACTCGTCCCAAACGGATTTAAGTCCCAAATCTCATTTTGGAGCTGGAGGGGCAGAAACTCCACACACACACACCCTCCCCCAACATTTGTCCCACAAACCTGAGGCCAGAGCTTGGCAGGAAGCTACCGTGATGTTGGTGCTGTCTGCGCTCCAGCTCACCGGGTTGCTCACGTTGCAGCGGCAGATGATGGGGAGTGAATCCCCATGGACCTGCAGGTGCAGCCAGGGCTGGTGCTCCAGGACTCCCTGGGGATCCCCACTGCAGGACCAGCTGTAGGAGACGTTGCCAGCACCAGACACAGTGCAGACCAGTGAGAGGTTGCACCAGCCCTGTTCCCAGTCCAGGACGCGTGTCTCCAGGTGCAGCGAGTGGACGGGCTCTATGGGGACAGAGCTGGTGAGAGGGGACGGGGGGACAGGCTGACGGGGTGATGGGGACCTGGCTACTCACCCCACACTGACACACGGAAGCACCGGGTAGTAAAGCTGCCTGATGTGTCCTCAAATTCTGCCACATAGACCCCACTGTCTGCCATGCTAACCGGGCTGATCTGCAGGGAGAAGGTCTCCTGCTGGAAAACAGCTCTCCCCAAAAAAGTACTGTTGAAGAATAGGACAGTTTTATTCTCCTCAGCCGTCAGGATTCGCTGGTGGTATCCTGCATCCCGTCTCACTTTCCATGTGAACTTTGTCCATCCCTGTGGGGGTTTCTCCGGCTGCAGGTTCAGCACTCCGTTGGCAGACACAGCTTGTTCACAGCACCCCAGGCGTCCTAAAGCAGAAAGGGATGAGCGAGTGCTCGCAGCCCTGGGAGATGCTCCATGGCTGGCGAGGAGGCACAGCTGCTGGAGCCCACCTGTGCCCCCAGCACAGCCCCTCCTGCTCCTCAGGGGCAAGCTCAGCCTGATTCTCCATCGACATCCCCAAGATGGTGGTACCCTTCGCTCTGCACCAGCCCAGGTTGGTTGTGTGTCTGTCTGCAGCCGCTGCTCTAGCCATGCATTGCAGATGCTCACACAATAGCCTCTGCCCTGCCCTGAGCAGGGATGGTTGCAGACCCTCTAATCATAGCATCTGGTTGCTTGTTTGTGGCTCAGCTCCTTCCTTGCCCATCCAGCCTGGGGAACAGCAGGAATTTTGCCCGCTGGACCTTTTTTCTTGAGTTTCTGTACTTGCCTCCCTTTTTTTCAGTGCAGCCCCGGATGTCAAGGGCTCTGGCAGAGGCAAGATAAAAAAGCCCCTAAAACAAACGAACACCCACGGCTGCCGGGGCCAAGTGTGCACACAACCTCATGGCTTTCTCACGGCTGCATGCGGTCAGAGCAGTGCCGGGAGCTGCCTCAGCCGTGGGTAGACTTTGTCCAGTACAGCCCCACACAACCACCTGTCCTGCAGCCCTCAGCAAAGCCCGGCTTGCACAGCCATCAAGGCAAGCATCAGCCTCCAGAGCCTGGCTTAGCCCACCCAGCCCACAGCCCCCGGCAAGGCTTTGTCTCCATGCAAGCAGTCCGAACACTGAGCCGTGCTTGGAGGACACCTCTGGAGCCACCAGCTTTGCTATGTCCTGGCACGGCCAAAAGACCCCAGGCAGCTCCAGCTTAAACCTTGTCTTTGCAAAGCCACAGGCATGAGGATTCCTGCCCTCACCAGACCCTGGGGTGTAGAGGAGACATCCCCATACTCAACAGATCTAGAAATACAATCAGCCAGAGCGAGCCAGCAAGCAATGGCAGAAACATCCTCCCCTGGAGAAATGAAGGCGCAGGCTCTATTTATCAGTTCCCACCCCTGATGGCTCACACCTGGGACCTGCAGCTCATTACAAAGGGGGCCCTTCCCACCACCCCAGGTACTAAACAGCCTGCAAGAAATAGGGGTTATTGCTTATTACTGCTTTGCAGGCATCTAAAACTGCAAGAAAGATGTAAGGGCACCTTAATGCCCTCATCCTAGGCTCCTGGAGCTGCCCTGGAGGGAGGGTGCTAGGGCAGTGGGTGTGCAGAGTCAGGGAACAAACGATGCAAAAACACACCCTGCAGCCTGGAGGTGTGATTGTAACCCACTGCCTACAGCTGGCATGAGTGCTGGGGTCAGGCCGGTGCAGCACGCCACAGGTTAACCACGCCAGCACCTGCAGGGAGGTTTTGCACCTCAGCTGAGCCTGTGCCTGCTGTGGGCTTTACTGCTTTAAGCAAGCAACACCCCATCCTGTGCAGCCACCCCTGAGCAGCGAGTGTCCCCCAGCCCTGCACCATCAGGGTGGGCAATGAGGTTGGGAGCTGTGTCTTAGGGTGCTGAGAGAGGGAAGGTGGAGGTGATACTTGCCTGCTCTCCCCATGAACAGGGAAGGGTGGCACGATGGGGGATACAGAAATGCAGCCAGGAGATGCTCCAGGCATCAAGCTGGCCCCCGAAATTGAGCGTTTGTCTGTTCCACTCATGCAGGAGTTGCTGGTTTTAGGAAGAAGACCCTCAGCCACCACCAGCTCCACTGAAATCATGGGGGAAAGGTGCCGTGTTTGTTCAGTGGAGAGACCTGGCCTTGAAAAGCTGCATTTCTGGGTGCAGGAAAGGTCAGGGCTGGCCACAGGGTGTGGGCTCAGCTCTGTCAGGGAAGTGACTTCTTTCAAGCAAACCCTGCATGCTGCAAGCAGCAATGATGCCTGTGAAGGGGAATTGGCACTGCCTGAAAGCTGTCCTGGTTCTACCTGCTCTGGGCAGGACTGGACACAGAGAACTGAAGAAAAGCCAAAAAAACCCCAACCCAGCCCCACTCCATCTCCCGAGGGACCCCAAGCCTGGCTCACTGCCTGTGATCCCGCAGCCCTCCCCAGACTGAGTTCCTGTGGATGCCTTCACACCAGCAGCACAGTCAGCCTTTCTCCAGCACCCAGCTCCCCGGGGCAGGCAGCGGTAACGCCTTCCCATCCATGCATCCCTCCTGCCCTGCCTGCAAATGCTGCCAGCACCCAGGCAGCGAGCCCCCGTCCTCCCAGTGAGCACCCATCCTCCCAGCAAGCCCAGCACCGCGTTCCCCTTCCTCACCTTGGCCGCTGGCCGCAGCCAGCGGCACCAGGCAGAGCAGCACCGATGGTGCCAGTGGGCACCAGGGATCCCGATGCCTGTGCATCTTCAAATGGCACTCGAGCGAGCTGCCTTGCAGCCAGAGAGGTGCAAAACCCCTCAGAGCTGGCGACTGTCCAGCAGCAACTTCCTCTCCCGCCTGCGGTTCCTTTGCACCCTCCGCCTCTATGTGTTATCCTCCATGCTGCTACTCTTGACCCCGCTGTCACACCCGCCCCCAAGCCCAACCCTCCCCCGTGGTGGATGCCAGTGTGGATGCCAGGGTACCCCGAGTCTCCGTGGGGCAGAACACAGTGGGGAAGGCTGGGCTGCTGGCTGCCCCGGCAAGTTCAGCTACAGGGCTGGGCGGCTGCAAACCTCAGAGGAAACTAATTTTAATTACCCAAGGGGGTGGGGGCAGGTTTTGGGGGTTTTGCTTTCCTTTTGCAGCTTGACTTTGGAGCTGCATGGCAGCACTTTGTAATGTGCGGACGTGTCCAGCATCCTGACGGCAGGCTAGGGACAGCCCTGAGCAGCAGGATTCGGCCCATCGGGTAGCAGTGGTCAGCCCAAAAACCCCTGTGTCTTGTGGTCAGGGAGTTGGGGAGCAATGCGGCCCAGCCGGGGGGCTCCCAGGAGATGTGGGGGGCAGCGGATGCAGAGCGAGGGCTGATCTTCCCCCTGTGCCTGCCCCGATCTCCAACCCCAATTCCCACCTTTCCCTGGCACAGCAATGGAGCGTGTCATCCTTCTCCTCTTCATCTCCCTCTTCTTCCTCTGCCAAGCCCAAGGTAAGCATCTGCCACGGGAGCTGCAATGAGTTGTGTCCAGCCTCTGTGCCAGGCATCCACGTGGGGCTGGTATGTTCCTTGGGAAACTGCTTTTAAAAGCATGCCCAGGGTCAGTGCTTGGCTGTGGGTTGGTTTTTGTTTTTTTTTCCTTGTGCAAACTAGCAAGCAAACAGCTTGTCATGGGATCAGAGTAGTCTCTCAGGTTGTCAGGTGAGGAAAAAAAAAAAAAACCACAAACCGAAGCCAAAAGCAAAAGGCTCTTTTTGAGTGTCAGAAAACCTCAGCACTACAGGTATCGCTTAAATTGGGCCATTGAGAAGGAATTTTTATGAAAAATTGTCCATTTTTTTAAGAAAAGGCTGCGTGTCCAGGAAAAAATGCTCTGCTCGTGAGGATTTGACTTGCTGTAGGAGGCACAGGGGAGGGCAGTGAGCGACAGCTTTGTCAGTACTTCCCCCGTCTTTGGAAAATGGAATCCCCTTTATGTTAGCCTTAGATAACAAATATATATTGGGAGAAAATAACCCCCACATGCACTGTTTGGAGTTGCTGTTTCTTACCAACTGAAGGTAAGCAGAGGCGGAAGATGAGAGAGAAGGAGGAACTGAAAACAGCTTGCCAAACTGTGCTCAGCCGCTCCAGGGGCAACCAAGGGATGGCTGAAGGTGCACAATGCCGGAGGCTTTGAGCCCCAGATCCCCAGGGACGGACAGAGCCGGGCTGTGCCGGGTGTGGGACTCCACAGTGGTGGTGGTGACCATGCCCCCTCGCCAGCCATGGAGCATCTCCCAGGGCTGCGAGCACTCGCTCATCCCTTTCTGCTTTAGGACGCCTGGGGTGCTGTGAACAAGCTGTGTCTGCCAATGGAGTGCTGAACCTGCAGCCGGAGAAACCCCCGCAGGGATGGACAAAGTTCACATGGAGAGTGAGACGGGATGCAGGATACCACCAGCGAATCCTGACGGCTGAGGAGAATAAAACTGTCCTATTCTTCAACAGTACTTTTTTGGGGAGAGCTGTTTTCCAGCAGGAGACCTTCTCCCTGCAGATCAGCCCGGTTAGCATGGCAGACAGTGGGGTCTATGTGGCAGAATTTGAGGACACATCAGGCAGCTTGCATACCTGGTGCTTCCGTGTGTCAGTGTGGGGTGAGTAGCCAGGTCCCCATCACCCCGTCAGCCTGTCCCCCCTGTCCCCTCTCACCAGCTCTGTCCCCATAGAGCCCGTCCACTCGCTGCACCTGGAGACACGCGTCCTGGACTGGGAACAGGGCTGGTGCAACCTCTCACTGGTCTGCACTGTGTCTGGTGCTGGCAACGTCTCCTACAGCTGGTCCTGCAGTGGGGATCCCCAGGGAGTCCTGGAGCACCAGCCCTGGCTGCACCTGCAGGTCCATGGGGATTCACTCCCCATCATCTGCCGCTGCAACGTGAGCAACCCGGTGAGCTGGAGCGCAGACAGCACCAACATCACGGTAGCTTCCTGCCAAGCTCTGGCCTCAGGTTTGTGGGACAAATGTTGGGGGAGGGTGTGTGTGTGTGGAGTTTCTGCCCCTCCAGCTCCAAAATGAGATTTGGGACTTAAATCCGTTTGGGACGAGTAAGCGGGAGATGTAGCCACGGGCTGGGGCCGCGGTGCAGCGCGCAGCTAGCGTGGAAGGTGCTGCGTGGCTGTGAACCGTAGCTGGCAGCGGTGGGGATGTGGCAGGATCGATCCCGCAAGTGCTCTGAGCCTGTGCATCCAACCAGGCATCCAAGCCAGCCTCGGTGCCCCCTGGGGGGGGCAGGGGATGCCCCCCCCATCCCCAGTTTCTGTCTCTATTTGCAGGTGTTTCCTTGTCCTACTGCAGAGTGAAAGGGCTCCTCTGTCTGCTGCTGCTGGGCAGCCTGGTCGCAGCCGTGGCCATCACACACGTCCTTGTCTGGCAGCGGGGACCCCCTTCCCACCGTGCTCCCGGCTCTTCGGGTACTGGGTAGGACCCCTCAAAGGGGGAGCCTGCAAAGCAGCCACCAGCCCCCACCCCGCTTTGTGCATCACATCAGGCCTCAAAACTCCCCAACAAATGAGCTGCTTTTAACCACAGAGAGCTGTTAACCCGCATGAGCATGGATTAAAGAAAAATCTGCTGCTTTTTTTTCCCCCCACTATTCTGTATTTTGGATTCGTGAACAAGTTCTGGGCTGTTCTGTGGAGAGGACAGATCAAATTGGCTGCAGGGGTTTTCACCCCAAAAGATGAGGCTCCCCTCCAACAGCCCAGGGCAAAGCTTCCCCCCACCCCAGAAGAGACCCCAGGGGTGGTGTTCTCCCTCCGGTTTTGAGCAAACAGGGACACACTCGCCTCCCTGGCGTCCTGCCAGACTCCTCGCTCTGGGATGGAGCTGTCCTGATGGGATCGGGATGTGGGGACTGAGGAGCATTACCCCACCCCAGCCTTGCGTTAACTCTCCTTCCCATCCTTTAACGAAGCAGCTCGGCGTATCACCCACTCATCGCCAGAGGTTTATTCCCTCTCCCAAATATCTTTACTCCAGATCTGACGCGTTTAGATAAACTGCGGATGGAGCGCCTTGTGGAAGGAGTATCATGTTATCTGGGCACAGCAGCAGTTTGTTTGTCCCTTATCTAGCCCTGGCCAACAGATACCACCTCGTTAAATCGCTGGTAGATGTTAATGAGCTTGTCCTGAGACTGGTTTTGCTAGGATCCAGCAGCACTCTCGGCTTTTCCTTGGGATATCAGGGATGCCCAAGCCCAGCACAGCCCTGCTGAGGCCAGGCTTCCCCAATGTCCACACCATCCCCTGCCCAGCAGCATCATTCGGGGCCAGTGGGTTGCAGGCAGCCGCAGTGCCGCTGGAAGAGAGCAAGAGGCACCAGGGCCAGCGGCCCCTAATCCGATCACCCCGGCGTCTGCTTCTGCCCTCTGATCCGCGCCACTAATCACCTTATGGTAAGCTCATTGCCTCTGCAGTGGCCCTGAGCCATTCCCCGGTTCCAATGCCGGGTTGGATGCCGGCAGGGAAACCGTGGCTGGGAACTGGGTGATGCATGGGATGAGTTGGGGAGCAGGGGTCCCCGCTGCAAAACAGCCACCCTGAGAAGGGGCCGTTGGCTGGTTCTGCTGGGAACTGGGCAAACAGGTGGGAAAAGGGCAGATTCCCAGCAAAAGTCTTGGAAAAAGGCTGTGGCACGGGGATCAGAGAGAGATGGGATCAGCTCAGCCTCTCCAGCAGCTGGAGCGGGTTCCTGCAAGCCTGAAACCCACCAGCATGCCCATCCAAGGATGCACAAGCCAATGGGTCCCCGCTCCATCACCCGGCAGTGACCACAGTGCAATGGCTTCAACTCCGCCGGTGGGGGAAACTGAGGTACGGCCTGACCCCACAAGCCCAGACAGAGACGGGGCTTTCCCTCCCCATGCGGTGCCCCGGCGGTGACGTGGGACGCGCTGGCTCCCACGGCCCCTTCCTCCCCCTTGCAGGCAGAGGAGCAAAAAAACTAATTAAGGCTACAAAGGGAAAAGCAGCGTTTTGCAAGGTTGAAAACCTCCGCTCCAGCAAAGGGGCTGAGCCGATTAATTAGAGCTTTTGTCTGCGGCTCCATTCAACATGTAGGGAACAATTTACATCAAGGGGACCTTCCTTGGGCTGGAAGAGCTTTGCCCAGGGAGCGCGAGAGGGGGGAAAAAAGGGGGGAAGGGAATGAAAGGGGAACATTTACCATCTTTCACAGACCATGTTGAGGAGGAAGGGAAGATGCTGCATACTTGAAGCACCGCATTGCAGAGGGTGTTTTTATTCAGCGCATCATCCGCGGTTTCTCATTCCCCTTCCAGCTAAATTTGGCCCAGGAGATGCGCAGGCGAGGAGGGCGGCAGAGGGCTGGGGGGGGGGGGCTGCACAGGCAGAGCTGCTCGCGTGATGGTGACGGCTCGGGGACGCGTGGCTGCTTTCCTGGTTCCAGCATCCCTCCGGTGTTCAGGAACGCAGCCGGTACGGCCAAACCAGCTGCAGGATGGGAGCAGGAAGTGGGCGGCCATCCTGTATGAAGCTTTTACACGGATGCCACTGTCAGGGTCCCCATGGGGACCCCCACAGCCCCACACACACTTCTCAGACAGGCAGGTTTTAAATGCTTTTTCTGTTTTAATGGGCCTGCAGCCCATCCCCGCAGCATTCCACCTGCACTCCGCTTCTAAACCACGGAGGGAGGAAAAGCCACTTTTTTTTTTTTTTTTTTTTTTAACCAAAATACTCTCTCCCAGGCCGGAGTGTGGCTCTGCCCGAGAGGTGGCAGCATGCGACCGCACTCGGTGGCAGCCAGGCTGGGCTTGTCCCTGGGGGGCCTAGGCCTGGCCCTGGATGGGGGTCCCTGACCCCCCACCCCCACCCCCAGCATCCATCCCACAGGAGCTGAGCCCTGGTTCCATACGCTGATCCCAAATCACTTGAGAAAGCGATAACTGGGTGGAAACCTTCGCTTTTTGAATGGGACAGGGATGGAGGATGGGACTGCATCCAGGGGAAAGCAGCTTTCCACCCAGAGCATTTTATAGAGCACCTGAGCATCCCCCAGCCCCAGCTAAAATTCACCTGTCCTGGGGGGCAGCCCCTGCTGGTTCCAGTGGGAAAAGGGCCGGGATGCGCAGGGAAAGGACCCCAGCCCCAGCTCTGCCTGTGCCCCACCAGGCCGGTCACGCCCAGCAAGCAGGATCTTAAACCTCTGCCTCCCCTCTGCCTCTGGTCCCATCACCTCTGCCAGGTTATTCATCATCCGCACAAGACAGTGGTGAAGTGGGAGCAGCCCCTTGCTCTCCTGCCTGTCCTGGGGCAGAGTCAGGCCCTGGTACATCCTGGCAAACACCAGCTGCCACCACGTCCTCCATGAAGCCCGTCCCATCCACCAAGTCACCACTTCCCTCGCCCCACAAAAACCCACGTCCTTCCTGGTAGCAAGCCTTGTGCAATCCCTCTCTGCCAGCGTTGTCACCAGCCCCGTTGGGGTTCCTTGCCCTGTGGGGGGGCTCAGCCCCATGTGTTGGGGGCCACAGCATCTGCTCAGCCCCCCCCAGCCAGCCCCACGCAAGGAGGGGACATGGTCAGAGCCAGGGTCACACTTCTTTGCTGCATGCTGCTAGCGGCAGATGGGGGTAAGGATGCTCCTGGAGCTGGGGTGGGCAGTTTGCCACAGGCAGGGCTGGGATGCTGGGGCAGGTGGGCTGGAGCACCCTGAGATGCTTTCAGGGTTTTGGGGTGCTTGTTTTTGGGGTGGGGGGGTGAAGACCACCCTTGCCCTTACAATCACCACTGCTGTGGTCATGTCCCCCCCCCAGCCGTCTCGTGGCACCTGGTGCCTTGCAGGTCTGTGTCTCTGTTGCGATCTCAAGCTGCTGAAGGGGCTGAAGGGACAGTCCCTGTCCTTCCCGGCCCTGCACCCCTTTTTTGTGGATATCACGCGGGTCAGCTGGAGGTCCCAGGGGACCCACATCACTGAGGCCAAGCCCAAGCAGAAGAGGTTCACCGTAGACTACGTGCCCAGGTTCTGTGGCCGGCAGTTCATCCACCCCATCAACCTGTCACTGAAGATCAGACCACTGAAGCTGGGGGACAACGGAAAGTATGAGGTGGTCATGGACACCTTGTCTGACCCCACCAAACTAAAGACCTTTTCCTACTCATTGAGGGTTCATGGTAAGTCCAAGGATGGAGGGAGGAAGGTTGTGGGGACCAGGCTTGGGTTCAGTCCACCCTGGGCATGTCCCCATGGGGGTGGGCTCCCACTGTGTAAGGCCCCCAGCCCTGAGCCCACCCATCCCATGACATCTCCCCCTTGACCAGGCAGAGGAGCCCAGGATGAGCATGGTCAGTGGAGAAATTCCCCTTCCTCTTTCGGTGCCTGCACTGATCTGCTACACCCACTGCACCCAGCCTCGGTGACACCCAGACTGCCCCCAAGGTGGGGGTTGGTCCCTGGTCCCCAAAACAGCCGCTGGCCCCACGGCTCATGCCGTGCCCTGTGCCCATAGGTGGCTTGCCTATGATGCCAGCCGGGACCAGTGACACGGGAGGACAGAGCAGGAGCACTGTGGGACCTCAGGGAGTGACCGAGCCTGATGCAGGAGATACCGGGACACAAGGCACAGGTGGGGGGCAGCCCCGAGGCAGCAGCGGTGGGCCAGAGGCATGCAGGGTGCAGGACTACTGCTGTGTGGTGAAGGGGTATCTCATGGCCACCGTCTTCGGGCTACTGCTGATGCTGGTAGCCACTGTTGACATCGTGACCAGGGACAAAGGCACCTAGCTGGGGGATGAGGTCTCAGTGGGGCTGAGAGCGGGGTCTGAGCCCCTCAGCATCACCACTCTGCAGGGATCGTCCCCATGGCAGCGATGAACCCATATTCGGGGCTCCGGGTGCGGTGGCTCCTCTGCCTCCGTTTCCCCAGCCAGGGAAAGCCAAGATTACTCTAATAAGGGCCCCTCAAGAATGCAAAGTGAAACCCAGTTTCCTCATTTGTTGCACAAGCAGCTGCCCCCAAAAGCGGCAATGCCTATTCCTTCCAGAGGCCACCGCAGCCCATGGGGTGCCCGGCAGCTCCCTGGCACCCGGCAGGACCAAAACACATCCTGGTGCAGCCCCTGCACTGAGCGTGCAGCAGTGTCAGGTCTCAGCACACCTGATGCAGGGACACCTCTGTTACTGGGACATCATCGGTTTCATATTTACGGCCCCGAATCCAGTGCGAGATAATAATTCAGCATTTCATAAAACCTTCTATAGTTTATAATAAGTGAATTATTTACTGGTGACCCTGACTAAATGCTGCGTGGCATAAATTATTGAGTGGCAGATCTGTCAAAAAGTTCTCATAAATAAGTTATCTGGTGCTGTCTTAATGTTCCCAGTAAATTACTCATTCAATCTCCCGTCTAAATGCTCTCCTGGGGAAATTACTCGCGCCTGCTGATTTATGAATTAGGCCTGGGCAAATAAGGACGATTAGGAAGGAGAGCCCTGCCAGGACACCCGAGGGTTTTGCTTCACCATGACGTTTCATCCTGAATGCATCCCCGGTGCTGCCCCGTCCCAACAGCCACTGGCTAGGTACCAGGCAGGACAGATCCTGGTCTGCCCTATGCACTGGTCCCAGAGGGACTGTCCCCACCCCGGGGTGCTCAGCACCCTCCTTCCAGCTACAGGCACGAGCCAGGCAGCCATCCAGGGTCAAGCACCAATCCCGGGGTCCAACAGTGATCCCGGAGTCAGGCAGCAATCCCAGGCTCAAGCAGGAATCCCAGGGTCCCGCAGCAATCCCAAGGTCAAGCAGCAATCCCGTGGTCCCGCAGTGATCCCAGGGTCGGGGAGTGATCCCAGGCTCAAGCAGCAATCCCGGGGTCAGGCACTGATCCCGGGGTCAGGCAGCGATCCCAGGCTCAAGCAGCAATCCCGGGGTCAGGCACTGATCCCGGGGTCAGGCAGCGATCCCCAGGGTCCCACACTGATCCCAGGGTCAGGCAGCGATCCGCAGGGTCAGGCAGCGATCCGCAGGGTCAGCCAGCGATCCCGGCGGCGGGCAGCTTCCTGCAGCAATGCCTGAGGAAGCAGCACCTACTGCCAGCCCTGCTCCGCTATTCCCCATTGCAGGAGGGAGTCGGTGGGGCTCCCCCAGCACCCCAGTCACCTCAAGCAACCCCGCGGCAGCCCTGGGCTCGTTACCTGTTCTTTATTGCCTGCAGGCTATGGCACACTGCGCTGGCCATATGCTTTATTGCCATTATAATCATCGCCCGGCAAGCACACGTTTCCATCTCCCCCAACAAGCCTAAATCCTCCCTGCCAGCAGCCCAGGGTCGCTCTCGATGTCTCAAGCACACCGAAAACCATATTTCTACCAGGTCCTGGGCATAATTAAAGCATCACCCAAGGAGCTTGACAGCTGTGACCCCGATGCAGAGGCAAAGCACAAAGTCACGAGCCCCGGGAGGGGACTCCTCCACTTTTACCAACCCTCTCCCCGCCACTAGTACGCGGGAATTGCAGCCGCTTTCGATGAATCTCTTTGCTCTGCCTCTTATTCCAGGAGTGGAGCTGATTAAAATAATACGTTAAGCACAGCTCGACCTCGTGGGGTGATAGGGTGGGGAAGTGCCTTCCCCGTGACGAGGCACAGCCTGTGATGGAGGCAATTAAATCAATCATGGAGGATGATGAATTGGGGAGGGGGGGTGAGGCAGGAGAGAGGAAAATTCACGTGTGAGAGCCGGGGGTTTAATGGGAGACCAGGATGCTGCACAGTTATCCGCGGTGGGAGAACTGGATTTGCCCCCGCAGAGAGGGGATCGGGATGGGGATGGGTCTCCCTGGGGATGCTCCTGCATCCACTTCAGCGCAAAAGCCACCCTGGCCGCTCCGCCAGGTCCCCATGGGAGCCCTGCTCGGCCATCACCCATGTATCAGGCCTGCACCAGTGTTTGCTTTAATAATTGAATGCCGGTTTGGGGGACAATTATTTATTTAAAGGAAACAGCATGTTAACAAGAACACAATCTAATCCCCGATGACAGATGTCTGCTTTATTAGCACCTCTGTCCGAGAGCCGAGCCCGGGAGGGAAACAAACAAACACAACAAATAAAACCCTCGTTAGAAGATGTAAGCACACGCCAGAAATTAGTGTGAGGGGGAAAAAATAAATATTAAAAGGCGACGGCACTCCTGAGATGGCTGCTCATGCTGGGTGAAGTAGAGGGAGGTGATGCTCTGACCTGGGGCTGGACCGGTGCCAGGGTGATGCTGGAGGCTGCGTTTCGGATAAATCCCCTGCTAGGTGGCACCTGGCTGTCCCTGGGGCCCTGCACCGAGGGATGCAACCAGAGCTGCTGGGTGAGATTGTGTTCCCTTTTCACCCCACGACACCCAAATCTGCTCTCCTTGCCTGAGCCCAGCATCAGGGAGCAGCAGGATTTGGGTGATGGGGAAACTGAGGCACAGAGGGGCAAAGGGATGCATCCATGGTGCCCAAGGGACACTCGTCTCAAGGAGCCCTTTGTGGAGGAAACCCTGGTTGTGGTGGCGGGGAGCAGCTGGGGAAGGACAGGCAGCGCAGGCAGTGGGTTACGGAGACAGGATTAGTGCTGGCAAAACAGGCTCAGTCCTCAGCCACCGTCTGGGGTTGGGAGGAAGGAGAGCAGATTTTCCCCCCGTGTAGGATTAGTCCAAGGAACTGTTGGGGAGTGGCTGGCCAAGCGCTTTGGGGTGCTGGGGATGGGGTCCCGATGGCCAGGGCAGGGCTAGGTCACCATCACCTGCTGCCTGCGGCCGGATCCAGGGGACTGCCCCCCCCCCTCCCCAGACTGCGTTCATCCCGGCTCAGCTGAGAACAGCAGCGATCGAGGCAGTGATGGATGCCACAGCACGCCAGCCCCACAGGGGCTCTCCGGCACGTCCCCATCTGTTTGGTGTCCATTTAGCAAATGCCTCTGTGAGGACCAGCTGTGAGCTGGCACCCAGCACCCGGCTGGCACCCAGCACCCGCTAGCACCCAGCACCCACCCCGAAACCAACTGGGGAAGCCAGAGCAGCTGGTCCCCTGGGCTGGAGTCCGCCCTCAACCATTTCTCCCTGGGACTCATCTGTGCTCCAAAAAATAAAGGAATTAAAGAAAAAATTACATCAGTGAGTTGTGGAGGGTTTGGTGCCTGGCTTCCTGCAGCACCTGGTGGGGATGCTCTGATGTCTAATATAGGGCTGAACCCACTGAGCACAGTCCCAACAGCTCCCACCTCCCCAGCCCCCTTCTCGTCCCATCTGCTTTATCCCTGTGACTTTGACCCACTTGTGAAATTTGTTTTAAATCAGCCAAGGAGTTGAGGCGTTATTGGCAGGGGGAAGGAGGCCGGAGAAGTGAGAGGAGCTGCCTTTCCTTAGGAAATCAAGTTTCCTGCAGCTCTTTGCAAATCACCATCCGCCAAGCAGGCAGGAGCTGGGCAAGCAGTGCCCGCCGCAACCCCTCCTGGAAGGCAGTTAATTACCATGGAATAGAGGTCATGCCAGCAGGAGCATACAAGCACAGGCAAAGAGGCTTCCTCGTAATTGCTTTTTAAAAAAAAAATAATAATAATAATAAAGAGACCTAACGTGGGTCTGAAGGGCTGAGGTATAGACTTCTCCAGCCTGGCCGCTTATCTAAGCAGGGAATTCACCTGCCTTTCCCCGCCGAGGTGCTTTTCATAAGCCAAAAAATATCTCAAACTATTTTTTTTCTGCTCCCTGGCCTTGTCCCTGGGCGAGTGGGAAGCAAAATCCCTTCCCCTGCATCCCACCTCAGCCGCAGCAGGAGCATTGGGCATTGCAACTCCCCGGAGACCCTCGGGTCCTGACCCGGCACGGACTGGGGACGGCTAACGAGCAACTTCGTTAGCCATTCTGCTCCAGTGCATCGTTCGTAATGAGGAAAGGCGAGCGGCTGCCTCCAAATGGGTTCTGGAAGCTGCTCGGAGACATTAGACTCTGTATAAATATCATTATGATTGTTATTATTATTGGCACAGATGGGCTTTCATGGCCCGCCGCGCACCGCGGGAGATCCTGTTCTGCCTCCGGTGCTCGGCGAGTGGGAGAAAACAAATTGCCGATGGCAGTCCCGGCTCTGCGCGATGCTGGGCGGGGGGGGTCATGTACCCCCCTGCCCCGGTCCGGCTGCTCCCCCCTCCAACCTTCCACCCCAGCCTGGGTAGTGTGGTGGGATGGCACGGGAGGAAGGACCTCTCACCTGGCACTGTGGGGACCGTGCCACCAAGGATGTCCCCAGGGCCGCAATGGCCAGTGCTTACCGCAAGGATGGACTTGCTCAACCCGCCCCAACACCGTGTTGATGGGCCTAACGCCAAGTTGGTTGAGCCGTGCTGTCCTATGGGGACTTTGCCCCCCAGTCTGCCAAGCTTTTGGGGCCTTGGGGGTCCAACACTGCCTCTGCTGCTCCCCCTGACCTCCCAGCCCAGCCCCGTTCCCAGGGGAACGCAGTCCCGGACCCTGGCCCCCCCCGGTCCTGAGCAGCGAACACGATGGCATTCTCCTCTCCTCCCGTCAGCAAATTCCCAGCCACCGTCGCTGCTCCTCCCTGACCTCTCTCCCCTTCCTCCGTGCTCGACAAACTCCTTCATATTTCTCTCCACTCCGCAGCCATCTCCTCTCCTACTCAAATTCCTCTGAGTAGCTGGGGGAGGGTGAGAGTGGGGCAGTTCTGCGGGGCCCCCAGTCCCCTGAGAGACCCTCCAGCGCTGAGGGAAAAGTTTGGCTGGATTTGGGGTAGGAGAAGCCAACAGGCATGGCAGTGCCCAGGGACAGCATGGCCACAGTCCTCCCATCAACACCTCCCATCCCCCCCATGCCGATCCGGACACAACGTGCATCGCCCACCAGCTGCCTCCTGAGAAGAGCTGCTGTTATTACTTTTAATAAAACATCCTTTATTATCATCTCTTTTTATGGCAATCATCGTCTCAGGTGCTTCAGAACCCACGAAGGCTCCTGGTGCCCCCAGGGGCTGTGCCGGGAGGGTCTTGGGGGTCCCCAGCTCTGTCTGGGGGGGTCTCTGGGTGTCACTCCCCATCCAGGAGCAGCGGGTCCCCACAGAAAAGCTGCAGCTGAAGGAAGCCCCTGAGGAAGAGGAGGGAGCCTGGAGCCCCCCAAGCAGGGAACTGAGGGGGAGGCCGGTGCCCGGTGTCAGCTGAGAGCTACCTCCTGCATCGCACAAGGGACTCCGGACTCCGGCGACATGCCAAATCAGAGCCACCAGGCAGGGGTGCAAGACCCCAGCCAGGGGGGCGAGAAATCCCTTCTAGAAATCCTCATCAGAGCCAAAAAATTTGGACTTTTTGCTGTCACATGTGGCAGTTCAGCAGCCTTAACTCCTGCCCCAAATCAACCCCGCGGCTGGGCAGCATTGCTCTCCTACCCCCTTGGCAAAGCCGGCAGCCGTCGGCGAAGCGCGCAAGATGCCTGCTGACTCAGGCGCTGGTTCCCATTTGCAATGTTTTCTCTAAAACCCTCAGGGCTAGAAATTCTATTTAAGAAGGGGAAAAAAAAGAAAAGAAAAGAAAAAAAAGAAACCCAACAACAACAAGAAAAAAAAAGCACCAAAAAAGCCCCAACCCCACCATGAAAGCTGAAGCTTCTGCCTCCACCAAGAGCTTAGCTTGCTCTACTAGACTTGGAAAGCTTCCCTTCCCGGGAGCCTGCAGGCAAGAGGATTTTTGGAGGCGCGGATATCCAGGGCCTTTAGCTGGAGCTTAGGAAGTTTTCCGAAGAGCAATAGCAAGAGGAAAAGCTGAAAGCGTGTGCAGTGCGGGGAGGGGAGGGGAACGTGCCTGGGACACGGGAGGAGAGGGCGAGGGTGAGGACGAGGGGTGCAGCACAGGCACCCGCGTGCTCTGCCCTGGGGGTGCTGGGGGGGGCCACACACCCAGCCAGCCACAGCGTGCACTGGCCCCAGTGTGCACACACATACTCACAGAGACATGCACACTCCCCCCAACACGCATGCACAGATGCACACACACATAGATGCATCCAGAAGCACAAACCCAGCCCGGCATGCTCATGTACGTGTAGACACCCCAACATGGACACGCACGCATACACACCAGCATGCGACCATGTGCACGCACACAGGCGTGCCAACAGGCACACACAAAAAGCCCCCAACATAGAAACACACGAACACAGACACCCCGACATGCATGCACACATGCGCACGCGTGCAAGCACCCCAGCGTGCAAAAGAACATGTGGATGCACACCCCAACGTGCACGCATGCACACCCCAACATGCACACTCATGCAAGCACACACCCCAACATGCATGTAAATGCCCCAACATGCACATGCCCCAACATGCACACACATAAATGCACACTCTAACATGCATGCATGCACCCCAACATGCACACATCCTAACACACATATACACACACCAACATGCACACACATGCAAGCACACACCCCAACATACATGTATGCACCACAACACAAATGTACACACCCCAACATGCACACCCACACAAACGCACATCCCAACATGCATGTACACATCCCAACATGCATGTATGCACCCCGACATGTATGTACACACCCCAACATGCATGCATGCACCCCAACATGCACACCCAAGCAAACGCACACCCCAACATGCATGTACGCACCCCAATATCCATGTATGTACCCCAGCATATGCGTACACACCCCAACATGCATGTACGCGCCCCAACATGCATGTACACATGCCAACATGCATGTATGCACCCCGACATGCATGTACGCGCCCCAACATGCATGTACACATGCCAACATGCATGTATGCACCCCGACATGCATGTACGCGCCCCAACATGCATGTACACATGCCAACATGCATGTATGCCCCCAACATGCATGTACGCGCCCCAACATGCATGTACACATGCCAACATGCATGTATGCACCCCGACATGCATGTACGCGCCCCAACATGCATGTGCACATGCCAACATGCATGTATGCACCCAACATGCAT